AACACGATAAAATCGCCCATTACATCCGCAAATGTCACAATGGCGTGGTTTTGTTTTCCTGCTGATCTCGTGCGCTGATTCGGGTGAGCACGCTATGGTTACTTGTTGCCACATCGCGTGCATTTGGTTTTTTCACAAATCTCGAATATCATGTCAATAGGATCTTTAATTGTCACAGAAACGGACCAGAGGATGGAGAGGTTGGCAGGCGGGATGCTGATGTCACGTGACTTCATGAGGCAGAAATATCACCTCCAAGGGAGAACTGCACGTAACCACAGTTGGTTTTTTCCACCACAACTCCAGCCGCCAAGACTGCGAGTTCGTGCTCGAAATACACGCAAGCCAGGAAGTTGACATCACAGTTTGTTGTCGAGTTGGCGAGTGCTGAAAACGGCGCCTGAACAAGGTCACTTTATGGATTACTTCGCATTGGCTATCCTGAAGACATCACGAAACTAAAATACCACATATTTACGAAGTAAAACCTGCTGACTTGCGGAAACGGTATATTAGCTCCATTTATCAAGGCTTTTCCTGTCGCTTTTCATGCAATGCCTTCAAAAAGATCAGTTTAGCATTTCGTAAAATTAGGTTCGATGCATTCCTGCTAGTATTTTATGAGTTGCTTTCCCCTCTTCTCTGTTTATCGATTTTTTGAGTAATAGAATTATACGTCAACATTTCTTTCTATTTCTCAGTATTGATGTGACATGGCTACAGGATTGACTTCAAGGCAAACGACATAAGATTAGTAGGAAGGAACCGAAAGTAGTCCAGAATAATACATACAAGGACAGAGAAGCCAAAGCTTAGGGAGAGGGTTAGGGAGGGGATAGGGGGAGGATGGCGATAGCAAGGATCACGGGTTACCCTCAGACCCATAATCGCTGCTTGAGGAAAGCGGGACTGCGGGAGAATACAGGCCAGACCAGGTGTGGGCGCGTTCCATATTGTTTGTTTGTTTTCAACACAGTGTTCGAATTAAAACACTCTTCGTGAATCGGTAATGGTTTATCCCATTCGCCACCTCGTTTGGTCCTAATGAGGCATCTATGGAATCCTTGAGCTCTAGAGTAAAGATGACAGGTACAACAGAGCAGGTCTCATTGACCAATCACTAGCCAGAATTGTCCGCCAGGCACCGCCCATTATGCAGTGCTTCTCATCCATTCTTGTCTCTGACTGGCACCTGATTTGTAATTTAGGCTATTCAAGCGCACAACGACAGAGATTTGTTTAAGCTCGTCATGATCCAATATGTCTGCGTCCTGGTTTGGCGCAACACACCTACCGTGGCAATAATAACACCGTAGTCCCATTCCGGTATACTGCAGTTGGGTAAAGCCCTTCAACGTTACCTGAGAAAATTGACGTTTTGTCCGACGCCTGTAACCTCTCTGTATTCGTATTGAGAACAACGATAACTACTTATTCAATGCCAAACTTATCTGTGACTTGTGCGACCGATCGTTTTACCATAACCGTGCACATGGGTGATCGTGATTTTCCTATAGGATTATATATAGTATGCATTAGAATTAATAATTTGCAAAACACGAGAATTAAGCCTTTACAGTTAAAGTATTTAGTCACAAATCTGGATTTCATCCATTCAAAAAGGATTTGTGATATTGTAACAAACAAGAAAACAGTAAAGTAGAAGATGATATTGTAAACGACCTAAAACTGCGGCAATAACGAGAAGCACAAACCATCTTAATTGTGGTGAGTGGATGCCTGCTGCCACTGCCTCTTGCTCTAGCTAGTTTTAAGCGTACAATCTGTCTTGTCACGTATATATAACTCTGGTAGTCTAGATAACTTATTACATGTTCTCGTTCTTGAGACAAAAAGCATAAAAATAAGAATCTGAGGTTCTCTAAGGCTGCTTATAACTTAGATTAGAGGAGGTTGTGCATTCCTCGATTTATCAGAACCGCTTCTGGATAATAGCTACTTATGAATAATAAGTAAAATCAATGTAAAGTAGACACATACATAGGTATTTATACTTCGAAGGAAATTTACGCCCTTTCACTAACATCTACTGTGGTTAAGTTATCTCCATGGTGATCTCTGTAAGCTCTACATGTTCTGAAAATAACCTTTCCAGCTCTTTACTTTATGCAAACAGCTAATCAGAAATGGCTTTTAATTGCTACACTCTACGGCAAACAGGACACCATCAACAGTAAACATTCGAAACTGATTTATTTAAAATTGCAGACTGATCGATTTTAAATAATAGCATAGCTGTTTTCAAATTACTCGTTACCGTTATATATGTTTGCATTATGCATAAAATAATTTCAAAATCAGTGGATTTTTAGGTCGTTAAGATGTTGACGAATAATTCATTTTAACAAGAACTCCTGAATTTGGCCGCAAGTGTCGAATGTAAGCAAACATGTGTGTTCGATCCCTTCTAATATGTACATTCATGCAAGGGAATCACTGAGTTCTTAAAACAGAGCTTTTTATGCCACTACAAGGAATTTAAATCAACTTCGTCATTTGTTTCTCATGAATTTTATTGGAATTAAATTTAATCCTAAAAGTAACATCAAACTGAAGCTTTGAGCATTCATAACGACTTTCCCTAATATTCAAAGAGACATCCGCAATAATCCAGAACACTGGATGAAGAGCACCCATTCTGTGGTTAAGCGAATGGCTTGTAGAGAGACGATTTTACGATTAGGACATCAGTCGGAGAGCAAATCAATCCTTTTTAAGTGGGGTTAGGGAACAGATTTGATCAAAAAGCAAGTATTCGTAGCAAAGGTTTCCACAAGTTCACTTTGCTAGCATTGATTTTACTGGCTAATGAAGAATATACCTGGCATTTCTTGTCCATTACTGACAGTGTCTTTTTTGATTTTCTTATATTTCCAGAACTTGTGTAGGTTATTCAATTTGTGATATTCTTAGTTCGTTCCATGGTCAGTCATGAATACAATAAAAAAAGGTTATGAACTCGCAATCAACATTAACATCCTTGTTGATTACAAATATTCCTATTGAATAACCGATCAAGCTATAATTTTACGATAAAACTAGCTTTACTTAGCATCATTTCTATGTATTATTAGTTAACTGAAATTATTGTACTTCGAGTTACCGAATTCGCACAAGATTTATTGCCTACTGGCCAATTTTCAGTGAAATTTGACGATAATTCTATTAGATTAAATTATTTGCATGCCATCGTATATAAATAAAAATCCTCGTCTTATTAATTGAACACAAACCAAACCATTTACACGCCAGACAAAAAATACTCGATATAAGTACAATGACAGATAATGTGTTGGGTTATCAAAACTAGAAAATTCGTGCGTTCATTGGACGGCAAACTTTAAAAAAGATATTGCAGCTTTAAGTTGTTTCGGAAAGTAAATGGGAGCCCATGGAATCGAATATCGTTCAGGAAATTTTTAAAAAGATTCATCAGTGAATATCGTTAGTTATTCAATACCAAAGTAAGAAGATTTAATTTTTCATATACATTTGACCACATTGAACAAAAGGCAGAATGTTTGTATGCAAATGTCACTTATTCACTTCGTGACAAACTATACCAATTATGCACACTAAGTGACAATATTTGCATTATAATGCAAACAAAAAAAAATAATGTAACACGGCAGCTGCAATTGGCTACTATGCACTATTTTAAAATCATTTTGTTGAATATTTCTAGTGAAAAGTCACAGAACAGAAGCGTGATTATTCACTTAATTAAGCTTAAAATTACCAAAATATGTATTCCTCCTTTAAGATTTGTTTAAGGTTAAAAAATCCTGATGTGTAGGTAACGAATTTTAAAAGCAGAAAATTAAATAATAATAATAAAATAAGTGGTTGTTGATGACAAATGCACCGGATTTGCCAAGCCACCCAACCTGTTTAAAATTCCCACAAATCAACTCGTGACCCTTGTACCGATTGGTTAGGGTTATTTTTGGCCTAGGTAGCCAATATATATTTAGGCTAACCTAGTCTTATTGCTGAAAATTTCTAAAAATTTTAATGGTACATTAATGACGAATTCACAGCTATGGAGTTTACTCTACTTCCACTTGGCACTTATTGGGAGTGGATATACTCGCTATTCTCGATTTGATATCGCTATATCTTTCTCGAATCTCACGTCGAAGTTTTCAATCTCCGTCTTTAACCTAAGTGTACGTAATACTGGCCTGATTTTATATTCTTCAGTATTAATAATTTATATATACCATATGCCTGTGTCTCTCTAACTTGGTTTTCATTTCAGGTCGCTAATTACTGCATTGGCGGACTGTTAGATGTCGAGGATGGGGTTTTTGGCCAGCGTAGAGTGTTCGAAGGAGACCTTCTTCGCCTTAATTGGCATCCCAAGCAGGCCAAAAATAAATCGGATGGCGTAAATTGCTTCCACGCCGGTGTTCCACTTTTCCATCATTCCCAGTGGATAGCTGTGATTATTGAAGATAGAAATGCGGAACAAGCGTGTTCGCCGTTCGCTCTTGTGAATTACACGGTTTTTGCAACTGATGCTGCCGCGATCTTGTTCTTGCACAATTTTCAATCTCCATTTAATTTGGCTGGTGGGTCTTGGTGCTTAAACCATTGCCAGGTCAAATTTATTTACTTTATTTCATTGCTTCACATCGCTAACACACTGCAAATTACACTCACATTTAATGCAATTCAAATGATCAGGTATATGTTTTAAAATTCAACATTTCATATGCATAAAATCTGTATATGACTGCAGCAATTTGCATTCCACATAGGATTTTTCTGATTAAGCTTATCTGTGTGTCCCATTATAAAAAAACACAATTATCTCCGTCAGCCAAAAATCATAGCTTGTGTATTTTAGATGTCTTGTAAAATCTGCTTAAGTTTATGTTTCGTGTAAGCTACAACATTTGATCAGCTTTGGTCATTGTTTTAGTCCGAGACAAATGCTTACAACCCTAAAGTTTTTGTGAGACCGGATCTTCATTTCACAGATTTCCTGTGGTTTTTGATACACGTGATGTTTCCCCATTCTTTTTTTTTCAATTAAGTGTAATTCTGTTTTTTAGAGCCTTATCTTTTTTGTGTATGGCTCAGCTTAGGACCACTTAATTTTCATACGGTTACTCATTGTATTGATAACAATACACACACCAAAAATGCCTTTAATGATTTGCCTGTGGTGTACTACCGAGCGCAGTCATTATTAAATGGCAAGAATCTTTAAACTAAGTGATTAAATAATTTCGAAGCACTTTGTGCAGCAGATAGTACATCCAATGAGGTGGTACTGATTATTATGTGGTTGAAATCAAGGTAAATCGCTTTTGTATCTTGATTTCTGATAGAATAACTGCTGCACCAATTCGCCTCTTTTAGTTGGTGCGTTTACGACACCGGCCGTGACAACACGCATAGATTTTTCCTACGCTAAACTTTAATCAGATGTCAGAATCCTTGGTATTTACTGTTATCCTTTTTCTTAAAGTCACGACAGCCTTTTTAGGAGGAATGCCATCCAGGTTTTTCCAGCTCTGCAACGTAGTTATTTTATGTGCCCGTAACAGATGAACGTATTTTTTTCTTTTTTACATACATTAAATCCGATGGTTCTTGGTTTTACAAGTTTGATAGTGCATCGACAGGCGTTAAAATTTGGCATTATTTCACCACAAATGGAATATTGTAACTTTCCTGATTTGTCGCCTTGTAATGTGAAATTTTGGCATTTTTTCCTGTCGCTATTCGACCTTTCAAGTGACTACTTCGATCTTACTTTAGTATCCTCTTTAAATTCCTGCATGCTCATAATCGCCTCTGTCCCACTTCAGAAATATCGCCTCCCTAATTATGCTGCCATTCGTAACTCCACCAGATGCTTGTCACTATTTTGAAAACCCATCTGTCCTTGTTGTCTGCCGAAGCAAAGTCATAGCTCCCACATCCTCAGCTATTTCACATAGATCACTTCGCAAAGTTGTTTTCGGTGTTTTTGATTGGTTTATATCAGCAAGGAGCATCTTTCATCCCCTTTTTGAAAAGAATTCGTCGCATTTCATGCGGTTAGTTCACACTACCCGACGCGCCGTAAATACCCGTGAAATCGCCGAGACACACTTAATTAACGGAAAAAAACTGCTTACATTAGGCCACGATTATGCACCCCGCTTTGTAGTAAATCACATCTGTTGACTGTCTCTGTCGGTGGACGCGACCAACATTGTGATTCGGCATATTCGGTGGTTGGAATAGTTCGAAAATGGGGAATTACAAAACCGAAAAGCCCTGTATCTTAGGCAATGTTCGGCCCTTTTGATCCCAACACGCAAAAATTAACTCCATTTCTAGCCCAGACTAATATAGTCTTCACAATTACTTCGCTTTTCTGGTATATGTCTCGTTCCCCTCCAAAGCACCTCTTTATTTCAAACTATGGCACCCTGTAGTGTCTTCATTGTTTAAGGGCATCCAGGTTTTCAAATACAATTATCCATTTCTTTGTTGCCGGCTCCGAGTAAAGCGCAATAGTAGTGACTTCCGCCATTCTTAATTCCGTTCGTCAGTAGGTTTGTGTTAGCAGATGCGTAGCTGACACCAGGTCTTTGTTAGGTGACAGAGCTTCTCCAAGCAGCGTCGGCAGACAGGTAGTGGAGCTGAGCATTTCCTAAGGTTGAGGCAGACATTATTTAGCTTCGGTTTCTGCTCCCTGTGTCGCTCTTTAGTTTTTTTTATCGCCCATAACATTTATCATCCTACACGCGCGTGTCTAACAAAGCACCCATGTTGTTTTCTCTGGGAGTTTTTTGCACATACAGTTAGCGCAGCCGTTTTCTTTCGCATTGACACATTTTCTAGTCAACAGTAACCCTTTCGATTCTTGTCTTCTGGTTGGTTGGTTGTTTGCACTTTACGCTCACAATTGCCACTCGATTTGCCCCGGTGATGCGGACACATTTGGCTTGAGCCTCTTTCCAACCAGGTATCACACACTGTAGCCTTTAAATTCGGCACAAACTACCTTCTCGAAACCAGAACTCTTCTTATTGGTTACACAGCGGCTTGAGCAATTATGTCCCATGATCATTGGTAGTTTTTCCCCTGTTAAGTCATCGGTTCAACTTTTGGTGAATTGCGTTCTCGTAGGTGTGATTCTTCGCTAATGCCCTCAAACATGCAGAACTCACTACTTCCATGTCAAACTCAATGTTCGTTCAACCAGTAGCCCTGCTACCTTGCTGTGGTTTTGCCGTACCACGTCTCACGTATTTTCAGCCTATCAATGCCTACTGGCTTTCCACAAATACCCCATTCTGACAGTTTAATACTTTTCCAATTACAATCGATGTCCGTTGATCGGCTCTCTGTGCGCCTTCTATTCACCCTCGACCCCCACATGCCAGAGCAACGTTTTTTAGCATTGATTTCCACGTAGGTGCACTTCCGCTTTCCCGCGGTGTCCGATCTCACTCATCCCCTTTTTGAATCAAGAGATTCGTCTCCGCGCCCGTACCCACTTCGTCCGTGCACTTGTTTACGATATTCCTCGTCGTTTTCTCGTTGTCTATTATATTTGCAGAACGTCCCGTGCTTTCTCCTGTCAGCAATTAAGAAGCTGGGGCTATGCGGGAAGGAGGGGAAGTTGAGAGGAGAGGGACTGGGCACGTGGGGTCTCTGAGTCATTCCCCATAGGACCTGCTAAATTTAGTAGTCGTAGCCACGACATCTCAGTCACTTGTGTGAGAGGGAGACGGAGTGGAATACATAGAGGCTTGACGACGTTTTGAATGTCTTAGTTCTCGTCTGTATTGACTGGGGACATACGCAAACGTTTTGCCTGTTTTCAATGCACAATCTTTGTGGTTTGGCGTTCAATGATGGTAGCAGTTGGTGCCTCGAGGTACCTATCACAAACTGACCGAACGAGGCGGAATTTTTGTGTGTTAAATACACAAATCTGGGGCACGAACCGTAATCTCGTCATGCTGACTAACTACATAAGCCCCGTTGTGCGCGCCCGTCCGTGCGTGTTGTCTTCATTACCCCCTCTCCAGGGGTAGCGGCTGTCTCCTGAGCGTCAAACGCGCACCCTCTTTGCTGATAGCTTACTTGAAAGTGTGTGGGCAGCGTTTTGCCATAAATCTGGCATTCCGAAGAACGCGTCCTGAGTGTTGGAGGCACTCCCTTCTTACCACAAATTGCATCCAAATTCTGAATTCTAAGATGTTTCCGCGCCTTGCACACTTACATACCATTTTCGGGTGCAATGTTCATAAAAGGGGTATTGGCAGGAAGCCGATTGTATCCTCTTCGATGTAGTCTTTTTAATGAGGCAGGACAAGTATGCATTCCCTTCTTGAATGCAGCCAATCTAAGAAGCAATTGCGCTGGAGGGCGTCTCCTGGACTGTTCTGTGGAACGTGTGCCAACGTGCGGGTCTGCCTTTCAAACGCACCGGTAGTAAGCGCGTGGGAAAGTGCCCTTACGCCCCTCCTCCCCCCTCGCCCCCCCCCACCGCTGCCTGCACTGAACTTTGTGCTTCATCCAAATCGCGTCGTCCATTGAGTCATCGATGCGCCTTTGTGATTTCGTAGTTTGTGTGGCTTCAACCGGCTCTCGGACACACTTGAGCCTGGGAACGCGGTTGGGGCGGGATTTAACCCTCAAATCCACGCAACGGCCCCCCGGGAAACTCATCTACGACACCAAAATCACCCTCACTGTCTTGCTTAGCCTTTTTCCATCCAGCCTACCCTGCCACGACATTGGTTGTTCGCTTCTGACAATGGTAACTTATTGTCTGCTTTGTTGTCTGTTATTTGACAAGTCAGTCCACAATTGCCGAGGTGGGGGTGCGCCCCGCGCAGACCGCCTTAATTGCCCCGAAGTTGGGAGGAAAAATGGCCTAGTGCTAATTTTAGTAGCCGTCTTGTTTACGGACGACGCGTCGGGCGTAATTGTTTTTGCTCTGAGTAATCGAATTTCGTTTAATTCCTCCCATTTGTCGGTGTGTCGTGTGTTTACTGTCCACCGGCGCTGGAATTCCAGACAGACCTCTGTACCTCTTAACTGGTTGTCGCTATTCCGTCCTAAAGGTAGGGGACTTGCATGAAATGATGACGCACGCGCTGCCACCGTCTCTGTTGCAACAGGTCGCAGCTGCAAATCTGAGATGCGACTAATCTGAGGCCTCTGGAGTGTTTGCACACACCTGTTCGTCAGCGCTTTAGTCCTCCTTTTCCTGGGGTTGATCTGATATCGATTTTATCATTTAACCACGAAAAAATGCGTTTCCATCGCACAACCAAACAAAGCTTGCTCTTCGTGCACCAGATGGCCGTGGTGAATCACTAGAAGCCTTGTAGACTCGTCCCCCTCGTTGTTGCTCCACTTGCTTAGATCAAACTCGCCGTGAAGGCTAGTCGGTTATGGGCGAGTTGGCTGCGCACTTGAATGGGCTGTCATCCCAAAGCCTTTTTTCGGCTCATCCTCAACCCCCTACCAACTCCATCGCGTTGCCAACCGGTTAGTGATGTAATCGTGCGCTCGCGATTAAAAGTACTCTTGTGGCCGTTGCTGCAAAGTTACGACTAGGTCATCCGCAATCGCATCTCTAACCCCAGTTCACGTGCACTTTGCTCACCGGTACTGCAATTCGCACACCCACAGCCCATCTTGGGTGTAACACACGCGAGCACATCGGTTGACCTCATGAAATTCCCACCGAAATCGCACCTCTTTGTACCATTTCTCTCACTCAACGTCATATATGCCTCAGATCGAAACTCTTAGACTAGTGCCCGGCGATAGTTGCTGTTTTATTGCTCTACTCAGATAGTCGTCGACCACATCTGGGATGTGACTGCAGTTGCAAACGTCCACTCGGCATCAGCAGGCCACCGTCGAAATGGACCCACTTTTTGTCTTTCCAGTCTGCACCTTTAGCAACAAGAACTCGCAACCTTTCCAGTCTCTTTGGTGCTTGTGCACGGTCTTAAGCAAAGTCTTCCCAACCATTTTGATGGTTAAACTGTTGTTTGTTACTTTTTCCTCATTGGACACATTTCAGTTGTACCTACTATTGCCTTTATCGCTGCCTAACTATGCAGTTTAGCGTAGTTAAATAATGTAGGCAGGTTTTTTATAGACTTTAATCAGCCTGTTAATGTAATTTTTGATACGTTGCCGTTCATTGCAACACAATATTAGGCGACACTCAGGCCAGACTATTCCGAATGTGATTTCGAGTACCTTGTATCTTTGCGCAAACCTCTGTCCGCTGTTCACTGCCTGTATCAATGTGTAGTTGATACCTACATGGTAAAATTTTTCCTTTTCTAGCTAAGGAGGACGATAACTTCCGTTCCAAGGCTTTGTCCCTCCGCCACCGACTCGGTCAGCTCCTTCGTCGCGGCGCCAACAGCCCCGTTTTCATATCCCTGCCAATCGACATGTTCACGGACCTGCCCAACCAATTGGCTGCGGCCTCCGAGTCGCCGTTGATTGCCGTAACAGGCGCCATCGAGTTCTTCGTCGAGTCGCCACCCGATCGACACTCGGGCGCTGTCGCCTCCTCCTCCCCCTCCGCGCCTACCGACCTCAGCTCCAGCCTCCTGCTCCTCCTCATTGTCTTCGTCCTCTTCCTCCTCCTCGCCATCCTCTTCGTGCCTGCTCGTCTGGGCATCTGCTTCTGGCAGCGGCTGTGCTTCGCCTCGGTCGCCTACTCCGCCAAGACCAAACGATCGGTGGGTTTGGCCTGTAAACGCGCTTTCGTCGCGTGTACACTTTCTCAGCTGAGCATGTGAACAGCGCTTAATCACTCTCATAAAGAACAGCATAATTCCAGTGAAAGTTAATCTTGGCAAGCAAAACCATCGTCGAGACTTCCAGTCCGTTGTACATAATAGCCTGTCTTTTGCATTTTCACATATACCTCACCGTAGTGGACATTTTGCAGCACCTAGACGGGATCGCCAGTGTTGGCCTCTTACTGTCTTCCCCTAAAGGTCGATCTTTTTAGAGTTTGAGCAAAAATAATCAAGTGTTTTTACGAATTGGGCTTTGATTTTAAAGCCGTCTAGAGGTACCGTGTAGTCGTCTGTTCAATGTCTGGAAAAGACGCTTATGCGTCTGATTTCATTCCTCACTTGAGGCTTCTCTCGGTTGGTGTGTAACTGAACATTCCAGCCCATTGCAGTGCCTGGGTGTGCATTAACCGACCTTTATGCGAATGTTCATTTTGATTTCTTCGAGTACCTTTCTTCGTTTGTTTGACCAATCAAAGTTGTCAATTGGTCGGTGATGTCTAGAATGTGGGGTGGTAGGGTTTTTATCGAATGTGTCGCACCTCAAGCGACATAGGTTTCAACTCAAAGCCTACACTGACATGAGGTCAGATTTACCGGTAATTGTCAGAGGCAAAATGCCTCCGGTGTAGGTTTTGTCACCAGCGAAATTCTCCTTCACAATTGGCATCTTAAACTTTGTGTCCTATGGAGCACTAATCACTTCTGCATGCCTAAACCGCATTCCTCTGTTGCGAATTTGTGGGCTTGGAAAGCGCAAAAGTACAATTTGCCCTCGCTGTGTACATTTTTGAAATTGTTACGCTTTTCTACAAATTCACAATGCTTAGTGTCATATTTTGCCACGCCTTTATTGACCTATTGGACTATACTTCTCGTAGTTTTGTGGGTTGTTTTTTGAAGCGTTCAAGTGCATCGTTTTTTTCATCTCAGACATGGCTAAATCGAAGGCTAAAAACCACCTGTATGGAAATTTGCCTAAATAGGTTTCCATTAGCGTGTTACTTAATCCCTTTCTATACATGGTAATTAATTACACACGTTCCTTTTCAATTTCATTCGTCCAATAACACCCTCAATATTGGACATAAACAAATGGGCTTGTTTGTTTAAATTAACCGCCGATTCGCGAGCACACATAAGGTCGTGTCTAGAGTATTTTTCGCACTGTACGAATGGCAAAAACTACTGCTTATCAAATCACAAATACTGATTAATCGCGAGAATAGTTAAACGCACGCGCACATGGAGCAATCAACAGGGCACATGACCGTATGAGTTTGCAAATACACTCACCCCTGCATCCTGTGCAACGGGGACCACTTCGGTTGTGGCCTGTCAAAGTGCGCGTTGTGTGTTGACTGGTGTTTCGAGTTTGTCTAGTGCTAAACTCACAGCGCTGTCTGCGTGTTGTCTCGTTTCTGACCGGATGGTGTTGTGTTGGGACCGTCACACCTGTGCAGCTCCTGTGCACGCGTTTCGCCACTTGCATTGGACGTTTTCTCACAGGATTTTCCACGTCACGTGACGTCGCTTTCTCCAGAGGCGCATTAGTCAGTCCACAGTCTTTCTGCTGCAGCGTTCTGCTTTGTTGGTAAACACGATATACCTGGCCATGTCTTACTACACTCGAATTGTCGGAATTGTAACCATCAGTCTAGTTTGAAATGTTGTGCATAACAATACGCTAAGGCCCCTGAGAGTTACTCGTACCACGTACCATAATTGCCCGTTACAGTAAAGGATTTTGACCGTACCCGGTTCGTTGCTCCTCAGATATCTTAATTAATCAGTATTTGTGGTTTGATAGATAATATTCTTTTCATGTGAACACTATTCTGGATACGTCGGTTAATTTAAACAAATAGCTGTATTTGTTTATGCACAATACTTGTGTACTTTTATCCTAGCTCACTCGACTACCTGCTCAATTTTTCTCAAACATAAAATTATACCCTAAGAGCCATGCTAGGGGTATGCCGTTTCATGCTTTGTGACATAGTTACGAGAAATGTCGCTTTGATATTCCCTTTTCGATTATCTACCATGGTCGTAAGGACTGCAAATTGCCTGTATCGCTGGCTTGTGTTGGGGCGTTGTCGTCGTCGTTTGTCCAAAGCACACAGCCTCCCAATTGCGCCGTGTCGGGCGTTTTGGGTGGTTACAAAGTTCCTGTCCGATTTTCATAACTCAAGTCATCTGAATGCGCCATATGTCGTCATGACCTTGAAAATTGTTTAAATTAATTCGTGTTAACGGGTAATATTCAAGACGGAAAAAAGGAAGCTTGCATTGTCGTCATCGTGGGTCACGTGAGTTTAAAAAAAGAGTGATTGTTAGAACTGCAACAGAAGCTTTCGAGACGTTAATTTGGGTTGTATTCCTGCTCCCAGGACGGTTAAAATGTTTAATCGCTTTCAAATTGGTGACAAAGTTTTCACTTGATGACCTGCCGGAATCAATGATTGTCACTGAGGCGATTGCGGAGAAACTACTTATTGACAATTCGACAGTATTTCGTCGTTCAAACCAACTTGGATGCACTTCGAAACTCCGTATAGGGGTTTTGCACGTTATTTTCAAAAGTGGGACCAAATGAACCGTGTTGGCACTGCTATTTCTCTACGTCTGTAAAGAATACGAACTCTTCGTGAATCAAGTCAAAACTGGTGATGAACTGCGTGGAAGTGAAGTTGCAGATTCGATGGCAAATCCTGTTTTGCATCCTCTGAAAATGTCGTTATATGCGTGGTGGTGTTTTTAATAACTGCAGAGAAGTATTGTGAGCAATTCACCAGATGCAGTGTTGAAATTCCAAGCATCACGCTTCTCCATAACAACTTGAGACCACTTGTTGGCCAATAGACACTGCCAAAATGAAGGACGTTTAAAGTGGAAATTCTCCACCACCCAATATAGTGCTCTGACGTAATCCCTTCGGGGTTTGTGTTCGTGTCAAAGTAATTTTGATGGGAGAAATTGATTTTACAAAATTCTGCTCTCGGAAGTGTTTCCACAGAGATTCATCAAGGCAAGGAGGACGAAATTTCATCACAGGGAGGCTCCCTAAAAGTTTTATTTGGTTCCTTTAAAAGGCGAAACCATCTGACGGGTAGGGTTACTTTTTTTTTATCAAACTCACACCGTCGTTGTAGCCTTTTGTTGTCTGATCTTTGCTCCCACTTTATTAGAAATGGAGGCATATAGCATGAAGGAGTTTGTCACTTCAGGAACCATGGAAAAAGAGATTGTTTCAAATTAAAAAACGACGAGGTCTTGCGTTCGCCTAAAACGGTATCAGCTTCGTCCGCCACAGCTAAAAATGCGCCACTCTATTAAAAAGTTTTAATCGTGTTAGCTTTCCTAATAGAGAGTACTGTTTTAATGTTTGTTGCCAGAGCAACGCGGGAAAGATCGCTCAGTTGAATTTGTCTGCATTCTTTTTTTCCACCAAGATTGTCTTTTCCGAGGCGGCAATTAGTGATTAGTAGTTTGTTTGCGCCAACCCAATGTAAACTTTAATCGCAGTCGCTTAGAATTAATTCAAAAACTCCTGTTTGCTGCAACCTGGCTCACTTTTTCGTGGATAACACTGTATTTTTTGCGCGATATTACTATACCCTCTCCCTCTTGTTACTCTTCAATAAAGGTATTATTGTGCAGGTTTCAGCTTTCTGATTGGCCAAAGTAGGGTTTGGTCGTGAAATCTCATTGGCTCCTTCGTTAGCTTGCCTAAACGCCTCTGCCTTTACTGTACGTCGTTGCCAGGTCTGGTGAAGACTTGTGCAGCTGTCTCCTCTTCGAACAGTTGGCAAACTATTGGCATTGAAGAGGCCTCTTGGATGGTGACCTACGCTGTCATGGATACCATCTAAATTCACACGCTCTTAAATGCGTGTCTTAGAGTTGCGGTTACTCACCCACCCTCGAAGCTGGCTAACTGGCCACATGACGGTCACGCTGTGTTTAAATGAAGACAAATTTCCTTGGCTTCTGACTGCCCTCGTTTTAGGCGACAGTACACTCTTTTTGAGTCATGAGTCACCGGGTTTTCTGTGAGACAAACATGCCACTTTCTGTTTGAGGTTGTGTTTGGGCGAAAACACTTCCTGCACGCTTTATTTCGCCCTGAACTCGCCATTAACTGGTATTTTCTGCGTTCCATTCGGCTGCTGTGTGTGTCTAGGACCTCGCTTTAGGTATTCGGATCTTAGAGGCTGTTTGTGTTGCTGTAACGAAGCAATTGGGGCCTCTAGGACATGGAGCTCACATCGTTCTCGCATTCGAGGCACGCATTGTATTATATCACATTTATCAGTCTTAATAACGGCGCCAGTAGTTACCACACGGCTTGGTGGCTGCTTCTGCAAATCATTCTCCCTTTGCCTTAGCAATTATCCCTAGCTGAGAGCACTTTTTCTCCGCGTGATTCATCATAATTGACCTCTAAGGCGGCGGCTGGCAGTCATCAGTAGCTCAAGGTCCCGTGTGCCGCGTATCGCCGTCATCTTCCTGGTCATTTTTTTTCACAGAACCCTTTGTACTAGTCCTTTTTTCGTAGGTACTTAGCACCACAGTTCCTTTGGCGTCTTTTGCCCCATCATCTCTCCTTCTCCTCGTCTTCTAACGACCACGACCAGACTTCTGCAACTGCTGTGCGTGGTCCAGTTCCGTGTGTCTTTTTTCGTGCCAAGCGATTCCGAGTCCAAGTCAATGCTCTAGTTACTTCTTCCCATTGATCTCCATACAATGAGATGCATCGTATTTTGCGCCATTAGAAATTAGGGTGCTGTAATTACGCAAAAGCGTGCCAGACTGTGGAATTTGTTGTCAAAAGTTTCTAGAAACACTTCAGCAGTCAGTAGGATTGGGTTTGTGTGCAGAACACTTTGAATTAAGTCCAAGTTTAATTGACGAAGACGGATCAATCGCGATTTTGACCCAATTCTTGTCAATTTAATAAGGATGCCACACTTTGAAATTTGAGGACTCGGCCTTCCGGGGTGTGTAGTAATGGTTGCTTCCATGCTTTTTTTGACAAAATTATTATGTCCTGACGGTGGTCAGATGGTCATAAAACACTGGCCTAATTAACACACCGCGCACTTTAAGATCGTTAGCTATAATATTCGCAGTTTCGCGCGCTTTTACGGTCAACTCAATCGTCACAGTTGGCCTTCGAGACTTGAGCGAATCCATGACATCTAGGCAGACGCGGTTCATTGTGGGTAACTTTTAACACCCTCCTGAAACTGATCTTTCACTATTACCTAGGGGTAATAATCTATTCATTTTGCTAAGATACCAGGTTGTTTAACTATAGGTGGTCCCATTAGTAAAGTGAATTTGCGCTTATTGGACGATTCTAGCATTACAATCCTCGCCATAATTACTGGCTTGAAGCATCGTGTGTTTTATCTTGCATTACCACGGGTAGGAGTTATGCATTTCTACGAACCCTGTGCAAAATCACTGGGGTGTAGTCCAATTTTGCGGTTTTCTGAGTCTTGTTTGACAGTGACGGATGCTGCAGGCGAAATTGCCACCGTGCTCTCCTTTCATCCACATCCGGTTTCTGCTTGTCATCGGAAATTGGTCACCCCTTTTTTGAATCGTTTTCTTGTTTATGGGCTTTCTTGTTGAAGACTATTAAACCACAGAAATGGCCGTCTTACTTTTATTCTCATGCATTCGGTACACCTACTACTCGTGTGTTTGAAGGCCTCACATCACTTGCCGGCCTAATCCCACGTATTTGTGACCTATTTAATGGACACCGTCCCGTTAAATCACACCATTGTTGTGTCCGTAGCGTCGTTATCGTTATACCACACACAGCTCCCTGCACGTGTGTGTTGTCAAACATGTAGAGTAGGCAAGGCCTTAGAGCAGATGTTTGTGCTTGGTTTTTGTGACAGACGCATCCGTCTAGGACGTGCACAAACGACTGGGCAGTGTGTTCACGTCAGTGTGGTCTGAATTTAAATGAGGCCGTGACAGAGTCATTTGACGACTTAGTGCTGATGTCTCATTGTGTCCTCCTTTTCGGTTGCAGCGCAAGCTGACGGCTGCGACGAAAAAGGCGTTGAAACAGCTGCCAGTGAAGCACCTCAACCAAGTGGATCCATTGCTCTCCGAGGGCTTTGACCAGTGCGCCATCTGCATTGAACTGTTCAAACCCAACGACCTCATTCGCAGCCTACCGTGCAGGTAAATATCATGGTTTTTCCTTTCTTTTTTGGGTCAATTTAGCCACCTACTCTCCCTCATTTTGTCGTGATCATCGTTTCTCCCCATGTTTACTTATGCAACTCCGCTTGTCAATCGCTATCAAACTGCCTGTCAACAACCAATTGTGTAGACAATAATGTCATTGTAAGAAAACGGTAGATATTAATTTCCTTTATTGCGTCGGTGGCGTTGGTTGACGTGAAATTTCCGCTTTTCTGATTACTCTATTGTGTGATGTTAGTCCCTTCGAAAGGACAGTGCCTTGCTACGCACACACTAGAGTCCCCCACCCTATCAAAACCATTAGCGCAGTTTTTTGTCTTTTCTCAGCAAATCACTACCTTGAAGTCCTGACTAAATTGTTTGTGTTTAGCAGGGCGGGCCATTTGGGGCGGTGGGGGTGGCAGGGCATGGGGGCAGGTGTGCGTGAGCGTGCGCGGTTGCGTTGCCATGCGCTGCGGGGTCAATAGTTTTACGGCCAAGGTGGTGAATCATGCTGCGTCCAGTTGACCCACCGCGCGTGTCCTTTGTGGTGTGCCTCAGGGTCACGGATTCACCCCAGTGGGGAGGTCTGAGTATGTGCGTCTTCGTCATCGACGCCTCACAGATTCCGCCACCACAGTTACCACTACCATTTGTCCGGCCAACCTCCGTCTCATGGTTTTGTGTCGATTTCCAAAAGCTCTTCACACAGTCGGTTTTAAATTCAACTGCCGACGTCTGCGTCTCCCATTCGGTGAATACTTTTCTCCACAGAAGACACGAGTTTCTCGAGCCGAGTCTGTGTCGAAAATGCAAATTGTTGCCAACCCACCGGTCCAGTTCTGGGGTAATAAAATTAACGAACACCGGTAATGACAGCTGACAGCTCATTTGAGTGTTCAACGAGCGTCGAGGTCAAAGGCGCATATCCTTAACTAGGCCGAGTCATGGGCGATTACTCTGTCTGCAGCAGAACCAACTAGTTAGATGTTGAGATTGAACAAATCCCCAGCCGGATAACTCTGAAGATGTTGGATCGCCCTGAACTTGGTTGCTCTGTCTCTCTTCTGAATGGGTCCAAAATCAAGCATCACTTTTCTCTGCTCGTGTGATGCATATTGCGTGGTCAAGCGGCTCATACATATTAAACTCTATCCTAACGCTATCCCAGAATCATTCTTTAACCACGCTCTTTTCGTGACGTCTTGTCCGTTGTTATTCTCACGCAGAAAATAGTTACTAATTTGACTCTCTATCCAAACAAGGTGATTCTGCATCACCTTCAAATAGTCATTGTTATTCCTCTCCAAAGCGATTTTACCAATGCCTATTTAGAAGCTACACGATTTTTGGTCAAGTGGTCAAACACTTCAGCGAAGCATGTGAGCACGTCGATGCAGCTGCATTGGTGTTTGTAGGAGGTCCACTCTGGGAAGTCGGTTACTCCGTCACCGTTGGAGGTCTTTAAATGTTAAGTACATCGTTTTGAAGTTTTGCAGATACACATAAACACGCTTGTGTATGCGTTCTGCACCAAATTCAGGCATCGAATCTACACTAAATTTGGTCGTCTAATCTCGAACAATGACGCTAAAATACGCTAATAGGACAGTCATTGCAACCTTGAAATTTCTTAGGTGCCTATTCGCCATGCTGTTTTAACCAAACGGTTAATAATTAATTGAGATCAGTAAAATCGACTCTATGCCACGGCAGCAAAAAGTCTGCGTTTGCTCCCTTGTAGTCCCCATGGCTTATTTGCGGCTGGGAGTGGCGCCACTCCGGCCAACATTTCATGGCGGGTTTTTCTGGGTGTGCGCTGTGCCCGCAACAGAACCCCTGACCCAGTTCCTTGCCATGGAAGTCACTATTTGTGCGATTTTGCGGACGTCATTGCAGCATTGGGATCAGATTGAGTCAACATCTCCCCTTGGATGCGCATCTTTGTCGTTTAATAGTACATCGATGAATTATTCCTGCGATGATATCTAATTCCAGCCAGCGGCAGATAACGCATTAGCGTAATAAAATCATTTGACTTCCTCGTGAACGCCCTATTAATTAATATTTTTTGCCTTAAAAATGGTCAATACTATTTCCGGCCCATCGTTTTCAAGCCGTTTGTCGTGTGAAAACGCCTGCAGCCACGAAAAACCCGAGTCGTGGTGTTTATGCTTCGTGCCATTTAAACTCCCACGAACTGTCGATGTGAACACACCTCGTTAGCGAAGTCCCTCGGGGCATTTACGACTTAGTCCCACCAAACAGGCTTCTCACTAAACCAAGCAAGAAAATACGTGAATCCCCTGAGCGAATGGCCATCTTTCTGCCTTATTGGCAGGTAAATATTCTTGCCTGTGCTGATTTTGGAAAATTTGAACATCTTAATCCTGACTTCATATCGGTTATTCTCATCAATATTTCCTCCCGTGAGAAAGACTTCGTTGTGAGTATTTTAATGAGCACACAGCCAGCGCATTATCCTTTAGCCATCCTTGATTGACGGGAAGATTGAAACTGCGGGCTGGCAGATTTGCGTGTTTTTAGCGTCAATTGAGAATTTGATTTGTTCGTTTTCGATAGACACATGTATCACCGAGCGTGCATTGACCCTTGGCTGCTGAAACACAGAAGTTGCCCCTTGTGCAAGCAGAACATCCTCATATCTTGCGGCATGTCAGTAGCTGAGGAGGACATGGATTCTTGTTCGGCGACAACAAGCGAACTCAACTCCGCGTTCTCTTTCTCTTCGGCCTCAAATTCGCGTCGTCCTTCGAGCGTTTTCTCCTCCGCTTCCAGGTCCATGGAGGCTTTATTTTGCTTCAGTCTCGGGAACTCATTCGGCCATCGTCGACGTAGGACAGACCGACGTCAGCGACACCTAAGCTCCTCCTTCGAAGAGACTGAGCCTTCTCTGGGTCGTCGGGTTCTTGGTTCGGCATCGGAGAACTCCTCGTCGTCGATTTCTGCCACTGGTGCTGGTCCTAATCCCTCTGAGGTTGTCGGCAGAACGCTGTTTGCTACCGCGCCAGGAGCTGCACTTTCGCCCCCATTGGCAGAAAAGGTCGATGACGAGGAGACGCGTCGCCAAAGCAACCTGCTGTGTTGCTGTATTCCTGTAGAGAAGCGTGGAGATGGAGGAGGAGGTAGTGGTGGTGGTGGCGGCGGCGGCGGCCAAAACATCGGTGCCACTCCTTTCTTGTTTCCCGCGACGCCGCATCAGTCTGCCATGGTGTTCTACCAGCTGCCTCAAGCGATGGCGTTCTCGCCCATGTCGGTGGTGTCGAAAGCCTCACTTCCGTCTTACGAACAAGTTAGTTTGAAGCAAACCTATCTTCATCCTTATTTAGTAATTGCTGTCTTGCGTTTTACCACGGTAATTTACTCAGTCGGGTCAAATACGCTTTAACGATCTCACCGTTGTTTTTCCGAACGCAGTAGCACAAGTACGAAGTGATCATTCTGCAGAGCACACATTTCACCTACCCGCCTCAAAATCCTCTAGTCCGTTTTCTCCTGATAAATTTGAAGTCTCTACTCCCAATGTCGCCTCACATGGTGTCAGTTCCAGTATAAGGGCCGATCCTGATAGGAGACAGGCGAAGGATATTTACCGCAGTGCTCTCCACTATGTAGACCGCTTATTTGTGATACACTACTTGGAGGCCGGTACGTTGTGGTGGCTAAGATGCCGCAATGAGAAGATTTAGACACGAAGTGTCCCTGCTTCCTTTTTCCGTACGACATGATGTTGCCTTACCATGTGGCTTAAGTTGGCCAGTACGCTTTTGATGAACTCGAGCTGACAGCGTCTCTGTCAGTTGCAATCTCGTGTGTGTCTATGCAGGGCACGCTTACTAAAAGGCCTTGTAGGGTGGCGCTTATCATAATCCCATCTTTATCGAGTTCTCGTGGATTTTCGTCCAATGAGCTTTCACAACGAGGTAAGCTTTATTCCTTTACGACGTTTGCTTGCCTTCTTCCTTGGCATCTTTAACCAATCTGAAAGCCACAAGGAATTTGTCTCCCGCAAATATTAATAGGCAGTATTTTCGTGTTAACTAATAAATAAGTGATGATGTGTGTGAGCATACAATGGGATGCTTTGTTTTCACCGTGGAAGCTCCAAAATTACTTGATTCATCGATGAATCTGGCTTTGTGGGACCATCTGGACATTGCGACAATCAAATTAGAGTGGATCATGCTGTTGTGTTTTTTGTATTCATGCAACCTCCGTTTGAAGGATACCCATGGTCCCAGTTTAAGCTGTTGAATTCGCGTCAAGACATTTTGTTCCTGAGGTGGTAGGCGTTTGGGCGTCTGTGAACTTGAGTGTACTATTTAGGCCACGTGGAGAGCCTTCAACTGCAATTTAACCCACATTAAGCGGAGGATGAACAAAGTGTGGATGCGTGGCTATGCTCTGCATGACACAAACACATCCAATGACGTCGCATGGCGCTGAAGTCACACTTGACTACCTGGTGGAGACCATGGCTGGTCGATTAATTTGTGCCTGAAAAGGCCCAGGATTAGTTGAAGTCGTCGGTTCCTAATGTGTTGGCAATGTCGTCCACATTTCTGGTGTTTTCTCTGGTGCCTTACTGGGAATCACATCAAAAATTCTATTTAACTCTTTGTCCTGCCATCGTCGGGTGTGTTTCTGAACATGTACACAAGCTACCTTACACACATACATATATTGCGCCAGTGATGGATCTTAATTTTTGGATGCGCACAAAATATTTACCCGAAACCAGATCTGCAACTAATTTCCTTACCTTACGACATTGGGTGATCGAGTCGTGTTGTCGAATTTGCCTAGATCGTCGCTTGACATTTCTAATTTAAACTGTTTTGGCGTTGCGAAATGCACTTCAAGTTGATCGCTGGCATTTGTTCAAAGTGGGAAAATGTCAATTTGATTTTTACCTAATTCAAAACACCATGACATTCGCAGTACTTCTTTTTCCGCATCGTAAATAGTTCCATGAATGAAATACTTTCATGCTTGCAGCAATTTTATGCGCCGAAATAAGCCTGTTTTTCAATGTTCACATCCATCGAACAATAATGTCTATTAGACTAGTTAATGGCGTGCAGAGCGAATAAAAGTTCATACACCGTTTGTTTGTCGGTTCGCTGAAATAATCGTGCGTTTTGGATCTTGTTTGGGCTTTGTTAAGCTATTTTTTTTAGAAAATACCAAAAATCGACAATACTTGCATGTGGTAGATAATTTCATCTGGGTCACCACCATGAAACGGCGACGTATTCTGCGTGCTAATGGTCTACGCACCGCTGAGCCTCATTTTAGAAAAAGCTGGTCAAAAATTCGTCATTTGAAAAGTTTGAGATTTGTGGGGTAGCTAGGTTGAACACAGCCGTCTAGTAGCACAGACCATCACTCACAGTTGGCAAGGCCTTTCATAGAAACCCTACGTAACCTAACACGGCCGAGGAAACGCCTTCTTCCTCATCATCCAGTTGCTTGGGTTATCTTTTACGGTCCTACGTTGGTTTGGGTGTTTTTTTTTCAGTTAAAACGTTTAGCTATTTCGTCAGTCATACCGGAAGGCACTCTTGGGAACAGCTGACGGTCGACGTCTTAACCAATCCGGCTTCCTGGTGGAGCTTTCTCGTATAAATGGTCTTCCCCCTTTTTACTAATGTGTATACGTTTATCGATTATGATTGGCTGAAATAAAGGTCGCAATACCAGACTCACTAGTTCAGCTTTAGTTCACGCGTTATACCGCGAAAAATGTCATGATAGCCCACTTATTCGATGGTTTGTCTTGATAATGCCGTTCTGATATCGTCATTATCGCTATGTCACATGTGCATCTTGCAAAATTTGGCATTCTCGTGGTCAATTTGGTCTCCCACTTGACTTTCATGAGATTAACGTCGAGCAACACGACTGCGCACGATCGGATTGGCTCAAAGAGCTCTGGTTTTTGCTTTACCGCGTGAAAGTCAACCAAGATGCTCCGTTTAGTCTTGGCAAAAGTGTTTGTAGGTGGGGGCAGTCGGTCGTTTACCTGTCTCTACGGCATTCGACTGTCTGTTTATAACATGCTTCAAGCCATAGTAGGGGTAGACATTTACCGTTGCACACAAAACAACAGCAACTAAATTGTAATTATGTGACAAATCCAATTCCAAAACTCTACGTTTCGTGTGCCAGAGAGCGCTAATGATGTTCGCCTATGGCCGTCATTGTGTAGTGTCATTAGGCAATGCAGTTTGATCCTTCCTTATTGTGTCGATAGTTCCCTTCCATTTAGTGACGGCGGCAATGATAAAAGCGCATTTAAACACACCCAGCAGTAAGTTATGTGTGTGTCGCAATGTGTCGTCGACCAGACAGGTTTCTGGGAAAATTGGCTTCGTGTGAAAATTCCCCTCCCACTGTCGCCTCATTAATTCGCCCACCTCAAACTGGCTTACCACCCTGCGCTTTTGACCTATGTGTCCCGCTAAGACTGAAAACGTGGCTAATGACTGCGTCTAGGTAGCTGTAACTTCCCATTTACCCTTGTGATCACCGAAATCAGATGATAAAAATTTTGCGTGGTAATTTTGAATCACTTCACTGCTGGTTTTTTTCCAATTTAAATCAGCAATCTACAAAACGCTTGTCGATTAGCTATGTCATGAGAATTTTCGATAACTTCAACTTCGTTGGAGTGAGAACAAAATTTTTTAGGCGCAATAAACTGCTCATTGCTTAATTCAGTTGTGGGTATCTGGATTGTCTTACATCCATCAGCGGAGCTTGCCTTTTCCTTGTACTAACCCCACTTCTCTAGCGTTGAGTGCCGTTTGTCTTGCCAAAAGGCAGCTTTCGTAATCAATCTGCCCGTTCTGCCTCATAAAATCAAAAAAGTCGCTGATGTGTGTGTGTGGAAATGAGGCCGTGTAGCTGTTGAATAGAAAAAAAATTGGCGGTTTCTACCCATGTGGGTGTGGCAGTCTGTTTTTGCAACACTTCAGTTAGCCTTGTCCACAATATCCGTATTTTCTCCATGAACAGTTTTTCTCTCATGGTTTGGGGTGTCTTACGTCAGCCGTCTAAGGGCTCAGCATCTGTTTTACCGAATAATGGGCAGTTTCTCCCTAGTCAACAGTTTTTTTTTACGTGGGCGCTGCGCCATAGTGGGTGTGTCCATTAATCTTTTTCGGTGGCGGTAACTGTCGTGAGACCGGGAACACGAAATGCTCCCCTCACAGGCGTAAGTGGGAGAAGCCCTCGTCTCCTTCAGCCCCCCTCGCCTGCCTGAGGCTGGTGAGTGTGCGTAGTTGTGTAGTTAGGTGGGAGTGAACTTGGGCAGTCAGCGTTTCTGATTGTTGGTTGGTACCATCCGTCTTCCTCTGTGACAAACCAATGGGAATTAGGTGAAATTTTTCTTATCAACGAGAAAAAGCCTGTTTCGTATTACTGGACACGCGGAGGAGGAGGGAAAGACAAGGAATGACAGGGCGTCGTACATTTTGACAGTAAACAACCGGGGAAGGCACGATTAACCCTGGAAATAAATCAATTTTGGGCAGAATGGGGTGAATTCGGGGTCTCGTTTCCGACTCTTGAGGATCGCAATGCTGTTAGGGGGATGAGAGCAAACTCATCTTGGACAACGTCCCCGAGTGTCGCGTTTCTGATTCTTTTTTAAGACTGAGGTTTTAACGAATAGTTGCTGGGGCCGTGTCTACCTCTTAATCAACGGAAATACCGAACACCGATTCAGCCGTCCCTCCCAACCTGCCGCCATCACCATGGCAACTATTTTCGATTAAATGCCAAGTCGACTAGAGTAAACACCAGACGGATGTTTTTCTCGCTTGTCTGGCGATCTTTTTGTTTCCAAATCGTGCCGCCTTCTATGGACGTTGTCTTAGTTGGTAATGTTGTCGAAAGGGGTTCTTAAAAGTAATGTTTGTTTCGAAATAACGTGCAGAAATTTGGGGTATGTCGATTCCCGCATCGAGTGTCATCGCAATTGATGTTAAGAACTTGTAGTGAATCGTGTTGATTCACGTTAAACACCCAGTCGTCGCAGCCTCACACATGTCCCCTCTGTTCACAACCTGCCCGTCAGTCACGTGAGCCCATTGGTCCATTAACACCTGTGCCTGTCCCACCACCAGTTTTACTCATGTGACCTCACAGAGCCAGGGTGTTTTTGTACATGTCCACTGAACCGTAATTGTACACGACACAACTTGGTTGAGCGGTCTAGTAAACGGTTGTGCCCTCCCCACTCCGGTCTTCTATATTTTCGCGGGAACGCAGGGTAACGTATTCGGCGTAGATAATCGCATTGGCCCCGGCATGGTTCAAGACAACATGCCGGGGCCCTCAACAAACTTCAGTCTCGCGAAAACCGATTACACGTGCATATTTTCGGCTGCTGAAGTCCCGCTTTCGCTGTTTAATTTACACGTGTCGATGATTAAATTTTCTCGGGCGAGTTGTTTTCAAATTCTCCTGTGAATTTCATTAAGCGAAAAACCCTTCACCCAATTGTTCGAGTCGTGTTTGCTTTAGAATCGTTTTTTTTTCACTTAAAATGTGTCCTAATCGCACATATTCTCCTTGGCCAATCACCTTTCTCTTCTTGCGTACCGCAGTTTATTTAATTGGCTGGAAAGTCCGTCTATGATAACCCACAAAGCACGGGGTTTGAGTTTCAAATTGATGTTTTTTACGCTTCCATCAACACCTAAGTTGTCTAGGTGCGAACTGTCTGTTGTCTTGTCAGGGCGCGAGGTCGTATGTATTTGTGAATCTGTTATTTCTCTGGGTTGTTGTTGCTGCCTACACTTTACGATAGGAATCTGTAAACAGCATCCATTTATCAAACTCTGGCTCTCTTGTTCAGATCAACAAATCGAGACAATTCACGTCAAAACATCAAAGGAAGCTCGGAGGTGTATGTTATGGTATCATAAAATGACAGTCATTCAGCACCGCATCGCCAACAACCAATCATTAGTCCGCCACTGAGCACTACTCCCGCCCTCAGCGCAGTTGCCAAATCAGTAAGAATGACTATGAGTTATACACGTTGTCGTAAGCGATGACACGTAATTGACAGCAAATAGGGATAAAGCAATGGATCGTTGGTTGTAAAACAACTGGGGAATGCAAGATTAACATGGCAGTGGTGACGCGTCTTACTGCGCGATCGGATCCACTAATTTTTTCCCCATTTTTTTCGTAGGTGGCAGGTGCGGTTGCCCCTAGCACACTCCTGACACTGGCGGCACCCCACCAAGTGCCTCATCAGCCAATCGTCAACTGGAACCAGCGGGTTGTGGTCGGCTCAGGCGAGGCCCTCCCCTACCCCCCTCCGGACTTCCACCGACACCCAACCGGCCAGCCCCAGCAGCTGCGCTCTGGCGCCAAAACCGACGTCGTCTACGCGGTTCTTTCGGCGTCCGGTGCGAGGTTCGTCGTGTTCCTACCCTCTTGCACAGCGCTATTTCAGTTACCGTTGTCACTGGTGGCGGTTGCCCTAAGTTTTTTGATCCCCCAGTTGTCGAACTAGTCGATTGAGTTAATGTGTGTCGTTCTTTCTATCATCCCACGCAACATGCGGCTGGTATTGATAAAGGGAAGTGTGCATCGGAAATGACCCTCCACCGTCGTCTGTTCTCCTGGCGATGGTCAGATTTCACCTACACGCGTTTGATTGCAAGTGCGGCGGCCCATTTTTGACTCCCAGTCTCCAACCGCGACTTAAATTGTCTGAGCATTTCCTCATTTTCTCATGTGTCATTGGCTGTGGCAGCACTATGCGCCTTTTTTCACCGAAAATTTCGCTTTTTTGCACTCCCCTCCACGCGAGTCTTGTGCGGTGACTAAGGCCTGCGGCGTTGGGCCTGGATGGGTGAAATTTGCATTTGATTAGAGTGAGTCACCTAGCCCTGCTTCCACTTCATTGTTTCCCCCATCATCTTCATCAGAAACACCAAAGACGGGACTTTTCTCGTTTGTACCCATCGGCGGTGTCTTCGACACCACTAGGCTTGGCTTCAAAGCCCACCAACCAATCAAGTATTGTTATCAATAAATCGATTTCAAGAACCGGTCATCGGTCAGAAGCCGTTAGTGCTGTAGTTGTGGTATTTTCAGACAGACCTTTAGAGAAATAGCACTTTTCGCTGCGTCGCACTTTTGACGTTTTTGGGATTCGGTGGTTGATGTGCATGCATGCTTATAAATGTGTTCTTATACAGCATGTTAGGCCAATAATGCAGATAATGTCACACGCAGTAACACTAGGGCATGAAATTAGAGGAGTTTAGACCGGAGTTGGCCATCAAAAGCCGTATTTGCCAAGAAAACTGACAGTTGATAGGTCAGTCTTCAGATTTGATGGTCATTTACAAAGGGAAGCCGCTAACCTGGAGATTTTTTCAAATAGCAGTCTTAACGCGTTAAGACTTCACTTTGTGAAACCGCGAATGACAAAAAGTAGTGGAACTTTTGACATCTAAATAAATTTGGCTACTCGGTGCGTCATTTTCGTTCTTCGTTTTGTCAGTGAATTTTGAACCAAGCTGGGTGTGTGCAGTGTCGATTTATTATGCTTGGAGTACAGCGGATGCGTGAGGCATTTATTGGTGAAGCCATCTAAACGCGACACGTGGGTGAATTAATACAAGCGGATTGCATCATTTCCGCTACTACCAAACACAGAAGTAATGAATTACTTATGCTGAGGCCGCACAAAGGGCACTGGTTTTCTCCCCCTAGGCTGGCTGGATTTGGTACCATAGAACGCCGTGTTACCTCATTCAATGGCTCGCCATCGGTTTGTAAAGAAAAGTTTCTACTTGAATTGTCTTATGCACAAGGAATCTTTAACTGACTGGAATCTCAAGTAGCCTAGTCCTTAAACGAATCTGCTTTTTTCTGAGCGACAAATCGCGATGCGGAAGAAATGTCCCAGGTATCACGCGCTGGTTGATTTAAACGAAAACTCTGCTGTACTTTTAGACTATTCTTTTCTAGACGTCTTATAATTGTGGGTGATTTTGAGCGATTTACACAGACATTTTGTGTTGTTTACTAGTTTTAACAAGTGACTGTTTCGTAGCAAATGATGTGCCAAACATTGCCGCAAAAAGCGACTTTGTGTCTCATGATGCTGTCTAAGTTCACACAAACACAAATTTACAAAAAAACTTTATATTTCAATAGATGTCCTTTGCAAAATTTCCCACATCTGCGTGTTTTCACTCAAACTACGCATCTTACCAATGGTATGAGTCGTCTGATCTTTGGTATTTCAACGCGCCTTTGGATGATCTCCACAAAGAACCATTCTTGCCTACATTTACTTTGTTGTCGCACACACCAAAGCGCACCTTCCGCGATTTGGTTTTAGAAAGTATGGACAAACAAGCATTTCAATCAGGAGCGCATGACATCGGATAGTTGGGTCTAAATCACAGCGAGGAATCAGCCGGTTCTCTAAGATCTAGTGGAAGCAATGGCGGCTAGAGTGTGTCTTCGTGATCTTGCACGAATTCTTGTCAATCGTTTTGTGTTGGTGTAAACTGCTTGCGTACATTCCTCTGCTTTCCTGACGCCAGCAGCTCAACCATACAGCACCACTTGATACTGGTGCACGCAGTGTGCTGGACCGTGCGTTCTGTACCAGTGGGCGAGGTTTCCTTGTTTAGAAAGGAAATAATGCAGGCTTGAACATTGCTATTGACGCTTCCTGGTTTACCTGAAGCTGAAAGCGTCTATAAAAACTGATCCTCCAATCTTGATCCAATAAAGTATTGGTCTCTGACCTCAACACATCTCTGCATTGACTCCTTTTATCCGATTCGTTGCTGTAAGGCAAATTAGTAGTATTGGCATCGGCGTCCGATTAACTTGTCACTACTATCTGGACAAAAAGGTTGACAAGGTCGCAAACTAGACAGACTGTTGTTCGTGGCTAGGTATCCATCACTAAGGCCTTTGTTGGCCTGCAAGTAGGGTAGATGTACTGATTTCCCTAATCACCTAACAAGACGAGAATGGCTGACACATGTCTTCAATCTTACCTGCGGTAACAGCATTTCTAATTCGTCCATTATTCTGCTGCTCCCCGTAGGATGTGCGTCGACGGCACCACCCCAGCCCCGCATCTTCATTGTGATGCCAGTTCTAAAACGCCAATGTTTGTCAAAACGAATGCTCCCCGCAGTTCGGACGCCTTCGGTGGCTACAGACAGGGCTTCTACTCCTCACCTCCGCCCATGGATGACTCCAGACCACCTCCACCAGCCTATCCGTTGGCGACAGCTTCGGTTGAAGCGAAACTTGACTCGTACGTGTTGATTGTTGCATCAAGCCGAATTTTTTTTTGGATTCTCCTGTCTAATAAAATGCTAAAATGGAACTTTTACTAGAAGCTACAGGGAGTAGGTGATTGGCCTGATTATGAGTGAGCTTGACTTCGTTCTTTTCCACAGTTCCCTTAGGGTACGTTCTCTTGACGCCATGCACCCACTACTTCGAGCTGCTCGTTTCATCGCGTCGGGGTTGTCGAGGTCTCGGCTCTTTCCACCGACTCCGCTGAAGTCGGAGTTCTCCAAACGCTACTACGACCACGTGAAAGGCCACCATCACCACCACAGTAGTCATCACCACCATCACCACAACCACGGTGTGTCACTCAACTCCGCGAAATTTTGCTCCTACTTCCCGGTTCGACCGCTCGACAAGCAACACCGTCGAAAAACTCGGCATCATCGACGACACCGACCCTACGACGTGGACCACGGCAGTGCTGGTGGTGTTGGTAGTGGTCATGAACTAGGCTACGCGTCCCTAGGAAAGACCCTTATCCTCGGACCCGATGGGGCCATCATTCAGCAGGGGTTTGAGTCCAACTCCCTCTCCGAATCCTCCTGCGAGGAGAACCAAAGGAGACTAGCGGAGTGCCTGTTTGAGGACGTCGAGGCGAGCGGACATCAGCACATCCGTGTGCGCAGTGTTCGAGTGACCGTTGAACCGCAAGTGGTAAGAAACCTATCATCCAATCAAAACGCTCCTTTGTTTTACAGTCGTCAAAGGGGCATGCCAGTGGTTCACATTTGTGATGATGGTTCGGTTTAGCGCAGTACTTGCCTTCCAGGTGCAATGCCACATTGAACCCGGCAGCTCAGGCTCCGAAAAAGGAAATCCTGGTCCAGGGGAGTTTGACGAGAAACCTCCCCTGGCTAGCCGTCGTCGTCGTCGTCGTCGTCGTCCCAACTCCTTGCCAAACACGCCTCTGATCTCATCCGACGACACCGCCTGCTCCATGAAGCCGCGACCCAGCGCTTCTGCTCCGTCTGTCTTCGTCTCCCCCTGCTCCACCCCCTCCTCCTCTCCCCTGTCCCCCTAATGCCTAGTCCGTGCAGGTTGCGTGTTTGTGTGGGCTTGATTGTCCAACTTTTGTACTTTATCACCTCCCCGCACCTACTCGTACCTCTTATTCTCCTCTTTTGTGATGCTATTTGTGTGTGTGTATGTGTGTGTACGTTGGCTCGCATTTGCATTTTCGCGTCATTTTATGAAGCCCCATGGCAACTGACGCTGGTGATGAAAATACAATCACGCGATTTTACCAATCACATCACTTTCATCTTGTGTTCTTCAGGGTCACATGTGCATGGAAGTGTAGGGCGTGTTTATTGGCTCGGAAGATGGTACAGACCCTGTGAATCTTCCTCCAAAGACGCTTTTTTGAAATGTCCCTGAAGTTGAACTCTCAAAGTCGGATTTTCCGGCTTAACTGTAAGAGTCTGTACAACAGAAGTCGTTCAGCGACATTTGACGTCTCCTTCGACCAGTAACGAAAAACGGTATCGACAACTTAAGTCAAGCTTAGGGATCGCTGTAACTGAAATCTTATTGGTCAAGGGGCAAGTGTGGATCTGATTGGTCAGATTGACAAGCGTTATTTACCGCCTGATAAGAGTTTCTTGTCAATCTGTTATCATCTTTGATATATCCTGTGCATTTGCTAAAGTTGGTTCTCCACGCTGGGTTTCGGGAACTTTTACAAATTACGGTCAATGAGATTCCTGCGGCCTGTCGATTTTCGCAGCCTAGGTCTCCTAGTGATTTGAATTAACTTGAGAATTCTTTCTCACGGTTTCATCGTAATTTAGGGGTTCGGTAGCTAGGACTGGGTTTGAATCAACGTGTTTTCGCCGTTGGTAAGCTCACACGAGTAAACTACTCGACTGTCAACTAATTCGGGTCAGTTAATCTGTCGGTGTGCTGTTGCCAAGGCAAACTTACGCCGTCAACTAAAACACACCACACGTGGTATACTCATTTTTGGACTTTTGGGTAGGGCTTGCGGACGCTCCTGAGATTGGCATCAACATTGTGCTCTGCCGAATAAAACACAGTAAGAGACGAGTCAGCCCTAATTTTACAATCAAGTGGAGTAGAAGATGCATCGAACGAAGCAACGGCTAATTCCTGACGCCCAACTGTCTTCAGACGAAACCACAGTTGATTCTTCCAACTACTGGACTTCGAGATATTTGATATTTTCAAGGTCATGCGAAGTGTTTTAATAGACAGACCAGACATATCAAGGTCACGTCTCTCAGATATCCTGCATACAGTGTGTGTGGAACGTGGATCAAACGAATAGCGACAATTTTTTCACATGCAGAAGCGACTAGGCACCGGTGTCTTGTTAATGTGATTCCAATTGAAGCATCAAAAGTTAAGGGAAAAAACCTTCGTCCTTGAGACAACGTAACTGTGCATTTTTTTGCATAATAGAAAAAACCCCCTATGCAAGCTCTGACACTAAACCAGTCTGCTGAACTGCAAAAAATCGAAATCGCCGACCACAACCATGTGATGCAGTTTGCGTTGGGCTTACTATTAACTGGGACAGGGACGTACAGGTTACTTTAAATACCGATTACTGTGAGGTGATCTAAGTTGCCAACAGCTTATTAAGGGGTTAAGGGGATCATTGAGTTTATTTGCTTAAAACTGGTTTTTGATGCGTATTTTAATTGATCCAGGCATTATTTTAGTCTGATGCGCGGCGCTAAATGGCATTAGTCATTCCTAAAACGCCGCGTCTATTGATAGTCAATTTTGAAGAAAAGCCTATTTTAATCAGGTGAATAAATCATCAGATATTATTGGATTAATAACCTAATGTATCCAGATTTGTGCATCGAGATTGAAATTACACATGTGTTATTTGTGGTTTTGAGGGCATTAGAAGCAAGGTTTAAGAACACCAAACGACAACTCTCCTTGAGTTATTTAACCTCTCAGAGTAGCGGTGTACGATGGCAACTGATTAAAAGCACATTGGGTACTGTAAGCGTTGTGTCTTATGAAACGTGTTATCATTGGCACAAACGTTTTAGAAGCGGTGGTTTCGACCTTGGTGACAAATTCGAACGTTTGAAGATGCGGAATTTCCAGTTCAGATTGATGAAGACTCAACGCAGACGCAACAGGAGCTTGCATTTATTTCTGCCGCTTCCAGCTATTTTAGTGCCTAGGCTTTCATCCAGGTGACACATTTACTTGTTTTAGTTGCACGTGATCAAAGGCGCCAAATCGGAATAAGTCAAGTTGTAACAATTTCCTAGAAGTCAAAACCCACGCTCAAGGGACTAATAAAAAAAATTAGAACACGACATCATGTAGAGAGCTGTGCTGTCTTAGCCAAAAGTCGAATACATGTCTCAGGGTTATTACCTAAGTTTTCTTGGGAAATGTTGACACTCCTAACATAAATTTTATTAAAATTTTTGGTGGGATGGCAGCATAGGAGTGGAAGAACGCTGACTACCGAATACCACGGAAACCCCTTAACATGTGTTCGTGCCTACAAAGCCTATCAGTTTCAAACGCTTTTGCTCTGAATCAAACGAATTTAATTGGATACGTTTATTAGTCGTACACATAACTAATACACACATGTCACTGCTGTGTCGATATCTTTACGTAAATACCACCACACCCATTGAATCAAGTGACTTCTACGGTATAACAGTTGGTTGCAGGGTGTTGGCAATTGTCTATAGCAGGTTCTTAATTTAGAGAAATTCAAACAGCCTGTGGCGCCAAATCCACCAAGTGGTAACTTTAAATGCGCCAATGAACGCTTAATTTTGCGCGCTGAGGAACACCATTACTGCGACGATCCGCGCGTGCATTAGCGACGAGGTGCCCGTGGGGTCAGTTGTGTAGTCGTTGCGAGGTCACGCAGTGGAGGTCAGGCGGGTTTTACGATCCGCCGACAAATTGCATCCTCGGAAGGTAAGCTGCTGGTGAGTTTTCCAGGCAGAGTGTTAACCCCTGCAGGTCAAGGAATATGATCCCATTTCAATAAAAAAAGTGGGGTTGTAACGAGTTTCTTTATCTTGAAGTGACACTGGAATTGGTGATTCTTCGATTCTACCTCATCGTTCGAATGAAACATGGGTTAAGTATTCAGAATGTCTGCGACGTACACGCGATATTTTTTATGTGTGATGAAAGACATTCAATAAATCTTACCTTGCAAACTCAATACAGCTAAGTGGGTCACGAAACGAAGGAAGTACCTCAGTAATTACAGAGCTTTTTTGACTCGTTGTAGTCTTGTTAACACGACGGTAGTTCAGCAAAGCGTCACAATTCGTTGCGAAGAAATTACCTGCAAGTAACCTTTCACGCGGGTTTTAAACGCTAGGATAACATAGTACTATTTTTAATCAGTAGCGGTTGTGGCTGCACATTTCACATAGGAAAACACTAGGTTTCCGTGGTAATTTTGAGCATCCAGCAGTAGTGGTACACATGACAAAGTACCTTGCTGCTATATTAAAATTAATTAAATGTTGTATAATATTTAACATTATTTTTTGACTTATTTAAGAAATTTTACCTTTAGAGGTTGTGGCTATAAAGGTAAAGACGCTTGCGAAAGTTTGATGCGAAAATAGGCACATTCAGTTAACGTTAATGCAAGTTTGCATAACAGTAACTAATCTACTTTTACAAAAAAACCCACATTAAATCCCGAAGATGTAGGTTTTAGGTTGCTGGAGGGTAGTTTCTCGAATGCTTACAAAATCGAAAGAATTGATAAAAGAAGCAATGATGAATCCATCAGGAACACTCAAAACACGCAAATTTAACCAGCCGAATAGGCAAATTTGTGGATGCATAAGCTAGAATCTGTAAAAATGTACTTTTCCCATCCCCAAAATTTGATCAAACAGTCGAAATTATCGAATAAGGACGTTGTGTTTAAAAGAGACGCTGTGTTGTTACAAGACCGAGTTAAAAACAAAAGTACATCTGGATCGTATGCGGGGCATACTTCAGTCGCACATTCGAGGCTGCAATCTAAAAATACCTTGTTTTACTGAAGTGTTTCTCAAGGTTAGCTACGGAATAGTGGAGTTCAAAATTCATTTGATAGGTTGGTAGAACGGCAAATACCACATTGGTCCGATTTCATGGATAGTGGTTTGATTCAATTTTTAAATCATCTTTGTTCTGAATTGCTTTGGCGAATACTGATGAAGTAATGTGTGATTTAATAAAAGCCATCCTCTTTAAGTACTCTTAAAATGATTTCTTAAATGAAATTTCAAATGAGGCTGATTCTAATTGGAAGCAGTCAAAAAGATTTACTAATTTCATGCAATTTTTAAAGGTCGCTTGAAGGAACACGTTTTATAACAAGGAACTTCTGCATGAGGTATCGCTGACGGTAATTTCCATGCATGTAAACATCTGGATCTGGCTTGCTACACTTTTCAGTCGATTTCAGTACAGTATGAAGTACCCCACTGCCCACTTACCAGCACAAATTCATTCACCTACTGGAAGTTGCTGTCTGTATAAAAAAACGTTTTCATCAAATTGGGCGAATATGAACGAAATTATGAACAAATTCTTTGAAAAATTTCTAGGTTTTTAAACAGTTTCGAGGTTATGCTTTAAAGATATTCTTTTTGATAGCACAACAATATGAGGTCCGTCGATATACTAGCTCGTTTTAATGGTGCAGCGCCGGTATGAGGTGCAGCCATTCTAGATATCACCGAATTCAACCAAGCGTACGTTTCTGTGCGTCTTGATGGTCTAAGAAGAAGATCAACAACCAACCAGAGATAATGATCACTAAACAACAATGGCAAAACGCGCAAAGCAACGATCATGGAGGACTCGAATGAATGATGACAGATTGTTGATTATGAAATCCAAAAGACGCCATTTATTGTGCTCAGACACATGAATGAAAGCTGCAGTTCTTCAAGGCAGTCCAGTCGATGTTCCAAACTATTTGGATCCATAAGCGTTCTCTAGGATTCGAACCGCTACATCTGAAAGGGCATCAGCAAGTCAGGGAAGATGAAGTATACATTAAGAGGCAGTTGAACTGCAGATAGAGTAGATTCCTGCTATTATTATGTTCTTAATCGAGTTCATCAAAATTGACATATGCTCCATTAAAAACTAGGTTTATACATTTGCAAAATCTGCACAAAACTTCCATTCATAGAGTAGAATACCCGAGCCCTGGGATGTAGAAGTCTGGTACAATAGACAAGGCGTTATTGACCAATCACAAGTCGGAAACACGTCAGGAGCCGTCCATCCGAGTCCACCACGCTGAGTGCGCTGTTCACTATATACTGCTTCTCACACGTATCTGTCTCTGGCTGGCTACATATCTTCCTCGTATGCCATTAGAACGCACACAGACGGAGGATTGGCTGACGCCGGCGTGGTCCAATATGCCTGCGCCCCTATATATTGCTACAATAGTTAATCCAGTTCAAGTTGGGGGCCTTTGCGTTCAAAGAGTTTTGTAGTAGGACTTTGGTTAGTGTAAGTACATGTATTTTCCCGCAACCTCAGCTTTCTATACTTTTTTTACAAGGTTTGATTCATTTTCCGCTGCTATCTGAGAGGAGAGTTTGCTTCAATGTGTCGAATGTTTGACGAACAGCTTCAACTAATCAGAAATGAGTTGGGTAAAGTTCCCGAAAAGCAAATGGCTGTGCAGATTAGGCTTTATTAACCAATCACAAGCCATCCATCCACCCATCCATCCTCAAACGCTCAAAGACTGATCCACAATGGCTGTACAACATGCCGGCACTAATGTAGTTAAACAGTCAAAATATCACAGGAAAAAGTAATCAGCGACTGCAGGGTACAAGAATGATACCTCAAAATAGCATCTGCGTTCACGTGCGCTAGAACAGATGTCATTCAGGATGAATGCATGTAGCAGAATTCGGAAAATCGCATGTGAAAATATGTGCAACCAAACAAATATGAAAAAAAAAATTGTCGAAAGATAGGTAATTTAATTATCAATTTCGTTGTGTAAATGAGGGCTTTTAGAGCGCTAGGCGTAATCTTTTTTGGGTTTCAAGTAAAAAATTATCACCAAATTTACGAAGCCGCTGACTCGGAACGGCCTATTTTACGTTGGAAAATGAAGCCGCAAATCCATCGTATGAAGGTGCGTGGCCTTGTCCAGAGGTATTTTGTTGTCTCGGTAAACGAAAAAAATGACGAAATTCCTTTCAGAACGCCTCGTTTATGAACGTTTGGGCTGCCTTGGTTCGATGAGTAGAGAGTTTTAATAGTGAATGAGGGATTGCCATTGCAAAACTGGACATGGCATGATAATTATGTTACCTTTGAGATGCTCTCACTAGCACAAATGTATGAAGAGAGGAAAGTAAATAGAACACGCACAAATCTTGGGAAATGGTGGCATCTTCTACGCGTCCACGCGCTGAATTGATGGACGTTTTAGTTGACAAAATGGGGCGGACAAAAGGTGCTTGGTGTTATCGGCAATGCAATTGTTTTAAAAATGAGGACCTAAATTTAAAATGTGACCTTGGTAATTCTGCATTTACGCTCTATTCGCACTGTCAGACAATGGCAGCAGTTCCAGCAAGTATTTCCACACATTTCAAAAGCACTGTCATGGGAAAACACCGTGTCCTTCGATCGACAACGACTACTCGGTTTCAAGAAAGCCGAGTTTGCAGTTTGAGAACAAGCATTCTGTTGGGGATCCAGGAATCCCCAAGATTACCCATCGCCTATTTTTGACATTATTTAAAGTAATTCTCGGAATTCTGCTTTATTACTCTTTTTATTAGGTTGAGGTCAATCTTGACTAGAAGTAGTTTCACTTTTGACAACTCTTGTTCATGTATTAGCGTGGTAGGGTTGGTTCTAGCATCAACAAGGCATCTGGTACCGTTATCTGTGTAGGTGTTTTCTTTTGTTACAGGCAAATATAACACATTCAGAATGCGTTCAATAGACGTTGATGACTAAAATCAACGCTCTGAGATACCTAGGGATTTGACTCGACATGCCACGGTTTGTTCGACGGGTCGTCTTTGAGTGGCTTGGCTGGGAGTGGACAGCCTGGTACCCAGCAGGCCAATTTGCCATTTTGTAATTCACGAAACTCACCCATCGCGTGCTCCAATGTCAGACCACCACTGATATTACTATTATTGGTTAATATTAGTGCATTATATTAAAGGGCATAAGATTTGTGCAAATGTTGCCACCCAAAATCAAATCAGATATGGAAAAAGTGAATTTGAGATTAACGGTAAGTTGTGCAAGGAAGACGAAGGGACGCAGTGTGTAGTATCTTCAGATACCAGTGAAGAAGCTGCTACAGTGAGAGAGAGCGCATAAAGCAACTTAAGATCATAAAATTTACCCATGAAAGACAACGTCTTAATCAATTTTTCGAAGGAAATAGTTGTTCGTGAAAATCCGGAACTCAAGAGTGAAAGAAAAGATGAAGTAGCCTGGGTCTACCAAAAACCATACCGACATGTTTTAAATCCTTTTCTATGAATCGATTCAAGTTTGCGCGATGGCACTTAGATATATCTATGAGACATTTTACATTCCCAAAAACCTTGTTCCCTATGTGAATAAGTGATTTATAATTTTAGAAATTTGAATTTGGCTTTGAGATGGATCTTAAAAGGTGACCAAACGTAGACCACTGTTATAAGATTCAATTAAGCGGATTGTTAGAAGAAAAATATGCCTTAACTTATCGAAATCGGTGACAGAGGGTCGATGAAATGGCGATTTAAACTGGTGTTGTTTTTTTAATTGAAAAGCGCGCTACAGCGAATATTTTATATAGAAACTAAAAGACAACAGAGGCTTCAGCATGTTACTTCCCCAATCCAATAAACCACCAGTGTTTAAAGTAAGCTGATGAGCCAGCGATTTAGAGCAAAAACGACCGCTCTCCCCCACGAAAGGTAGCTAATGTTGATCGACGTAACCACGACGACATCAACGTAGTAAAGGAACTCCATTAGCCAAGCGAATCTTTACCGGAATTGCTCCATATTTTGGGACAACCTTAATTTAAGCGGTGACTCCTGCGATGAGACCCTTGAATCAGCTCTATTTTATGCCAAACCATCAAACTGCTTGAGTTTTAAAAACACGAGAACCAGTCCAGGTATCAGATCACGAAAGCAGCTCTAATAAGAGAACACGGATTCGACTGTAACTAAATCCAGACTCCCAAGCGCATCACATTAGTCGTTAGCACTCATCCGGGGATCTCGCTGCTAGAAACGCCAGTACAATCGAATAAAGGCCACCGAAACTAACACGCTTGTGTCCGAAGCCAAGAAAGCTTGGGGATGAGAAAGAAGACAAAGCCTAAGACAAGCCCACCCCACCCCCGTCCAAATAACTCTCATCAAAAAGGCACCCGACTTTGAAGCAAACTATCAACAAAGGTTTTGAGTGCATTTGGATTGCGCTATTGAGAAATAATCACTTCCTTCCTCCATTGCTGGAGGCGTTGGCAGCAGCAGCGGCGGCGGCTTGGTTCCGTTTAACGTTGAGGTTGTGAAGCCGAGCCATGCTGACCTCGACTGTGGTCGTCTGCTCCTTCAAGAAAGACAGCGTCTCCTCTACGTCGGCCATGGAGGTCTCGGCGGCTGAGAGATTGGCCAAGAGAATTTCCTTCGCCTCCTTAAGGTCATATTCTAGCATAACATTGGCGCCCAACCAAAGGCCTACCTAAAAATAGACAACAAAAGGGCGATGCAACATTGTCCACAACCAGAAATAGAAGTGGGCCTTTAGATAATCACATATGATTGAATAACCCAGTAAATTTATTAGCAAAAGCATTCTGAGGAGCATTTCTGTCAACCCTTGAAATACACTGCTTAACACCTCGAAAAGACAAAGGCGCCGAAAGGAAACGACAGCATGACAGGCAAGATTAGCTAAGGTATAGCCACGTTAAACGATCGGACACAAGAGCTGAGTAGATGGCTGAGCTAAATACATATCTCTCAGAAGTGATTCAGCATAGAAATAGCAGTTAGGGTTTACATGTAAAATGTCAGCTGAGTGGCCAAAGGAAGCTTTTGAGAGCTTTGATTTGAAAATGGCACGAAAATGTTGACGATACAGACTTTCGAAGCACATTATTATTGTGATGTACCGGTACGCAATAATACTTTGTTCGTCTTTAGCACTTAACAAAGATTAAATGAGTTGCTCGGGCTGAGTAACATTGTAAGGACTTTCGCTAAGACGACAAACTACACAATAGCGCAGCTGGCTTTGCACGAATTCTGGTCGGCCCAATTCAATTCGACCATGGATTAAAAACATGATAAATTACCAAGGGATGTGTGATTAGTACAATACAGGAACATTGATTAACTAACCTTATCAGCCCTGTCGATGTGTGCACGAGCGTAGAGCTGATCAGCAACCTCAAACGTCACATCAAAGTTCTCATTCTTTGTTTCCAAATGATTCACGACATCTAAAGTTTTTGTGATATCAGGCATTTGCTGTAAGAGACGGAGTTTGCGCTGGAGGAAGGCCTGTTCCATTAGTTTGTATTTTTGGTAAAGTTGGTCCAGAGCTTGCATAGCGTCACGGATCGTCGCGTAGCCATTGGCCCTGAGGTATTCGTCAACGTCCTCGATAAAGGTCGCCTTTGGAATACCCTTCGTCACTGGACCTTTGGTATCATCACCGCTGAGAGAAGGGTTTACAACCGCTGAAGTCATTGAGGAGGAATAAAGTGGAGAGCTAAAGGGACAAATTCGGTAAAAATTAAGGGCGATATGCCTAGCTATTACATAGACATAAATTAGAGAAAATGCGAAGTGATTTCAGTGCTGTTACTTAATAGGCAACATTGGTGGTTTACGAAATTGGCGCGTCAAAATTGTACTTAGGAACACCTTAAATAGTAGGAATCTAAATGAAAAAAATCAAATGGTGAGACGTTCTAAACAGCGATTATCAAAAACCATTTCTTGACTCTCAAAGAATATGTTAAATCATTTACAACCATACTTGGTCCGCTAAAAACTTAGTATCAGCGTGAGTTTTGATGAAGGCTTTGTCTAAATGTGTTTTTTAAATTATTTACTCGCCACAAAAATCCAAGACGACAATTAAAGAGAAAACAAGCAAAGGCAAACATAGAGGATTTAACGGAGAAATAATTGCTTTAAGACATCGATAAGAGCGAGATGAAACATCAATGCCTTAACATTTTACCTTTTAAACATTTAAAACTTAATAAACACCTAGTTTTGATGTTTATGAAGTCATTTCTGGTGACTGTTAGGATTTCCTTTACCCGTAATTTGAAAAGCAATTTCGAAAAATAGCTAAACAGAAACGAAAGTGGAAAAGGTCATTTTTATGTTGCCTTAAAATTATGACTTTGATTAGAACGATCAGAGTAATATAGAGACACAGTGAAAGAAAAACCGAACAACCAAAAATGTGGCTCACGGTGGGAATTAAGCAAATGGGTCTAACAGGGCAAGGCTCGATTTACACAAATAACGCGCTAAGTAACGACTGATAATATCACGCAAATCAATATCAATTATTGGGCAAAAAATTGAACTGATCAAAAAGCAATACACAGTATGTCATGATTATTTTCTCATACAACACACAAATAGACAAATCATTTCTTGCATAGTTTAAGTCTGTTAAAGAATAGATTTTGAAGCATTTATGGGCAACACAGTTAGAAATTCAGTCAAACACAAACTTAGTTAGAAAACTTAAATGATAGCAATTTGTAAACTTAAAAAAACACACACTAAACGATATAGTAAGATCTCACACCGCAAACACAGATTAAAAATAAGGAGTCCTTTTAATGCACTGCGCTTCTCTATTTAGGCAAGAAAATGTAAAACATTGAGACTAATATTGACATTTAATAGTTAGAAAACTGAACACGAAGATGCTACCACCAGTAAAAAGCTATTCAAAAAAAAATTTGATGAGGGTGCTAATCAAATGCCGATGTTATAAGTGAAATTTAGACTTAATTAATATTTAACTTGTATAACGTGCATTCTTATTCTAATTGCATGATTCCTATACACGCAGCATTATCAGTAAATTTATTTCCAGTCTAATTCGCTGCGGCCTTCATGAATTAAATATCCCAACACTCAGCGTCATTGCCATTTTTAAGTGCGTTCACAAAAATTTTTACATAGGCCACCTGGTTCGTTGAACTGTTTGTATAGTTTTCACACAAATTGGAAAAAACTTATAAGATAGTAAGATTTTGAATGGTACAACTCGATGTACCATCAAAAATGAGATGAGATGGGGACTAATTCAAATATTTTTTAAAACTCATTTGAGTATTGAGAGTGCTCTCGCTCGCTGTGTTGGATGACCAAGGTTAACATTGATCAATATTACAGGTGAACTACAAATTAATGAATGGTGTACAGATAGCGGAAGAGGTTCATGAATAGATGCGCATCACATGGCGGATATGGGAGCAGTGTGTTTCAGACTTGTTCACAAAGTGGCATTCTTCCGTCAAATTCAGTTGAAAAGACATAAAGGTGGGTGGTGCATGCTTTAAATGTGCATTCAGTTTATCATGCGAACTAGATTTACAATATATTGATGTCACTGCTAGCATGCATCACATTCCACTCCTTCGTAATTTCGGAATATCGCTTCGATAAGCATTAGTTTTTAAAGTGTATCAATTATTTACCCAAAAAGAGTATAAAAGTAAATCGGTTTTCATACCTGAGATTAGGCTGTAAGAGATCCCAATCGCTAATTTCAAATTTTTTATGAATTTTTTTTATGAAGGTATCTAATAAATAGTAGGTGGATATTTTACCTTCCACATGCAGCTTAGTTATTGTATTTTACCCATAGATTTATCAGTAATGTTGTCCTTGCAGGTTGTTGTAGTTACCTAAACTGTAATAAATAATTCATTTGTACCCTCGCGGATTTCCGAGTTCACGATGCGGCGCTTTTGTGTAGTGGCAATGTTAGTAGGTCTTCTAAACCTAAAAATACAAATAGTTCATATCAAGCTATCCGTTTTAGTTTTTTTCTAATATATTTGTCTTCCCCTGTATACATGTTTTTTTTTGCCATAAGCAGGTCAAATTAATTAATTCACAGCAGCACACACCAAATTTTGTTATTAATTTCAAGGCAATACATTTGTGTGTTCCGAATATATATTTTTATTGACAAAGGCAATAGCTTCCAACCAGTTGTGTTTCATCATTTAAGTATATTGCTTCGGCAAGTTAACCAATTTAGTGTAAATCTGCAGATTTTCTTACAGCAATTTATATTTCTGTTGGCCTTATCTTTAATTCTATAGCGAGTATTATAAATTTGCGTTTTACTGATGATCAGATAAAGCAACTTACGTTACTTGACTAAAATAAATTTTTTAACTTGTATTATACATAAAAATTTAGGATTACAAATATATTCAACCTTTCGACATAAAGTTGTGGTTCCAGTGGCTTTTGTGTAGACCGTGAAAGGCTTGTGTTTAATAAAAAGGGAAGTTGCATTGCTTCGTTGTCTGTACAGTCAATTTCCATTTTAAAGTTGTTACGTGATGTAGATCTTTAAACAAAGTGCGTATTATTTTTAGTGCCCTCAATAGCAAAATTCTTATTTATTTTAGTTTACTTACATGTATCTCAGGACCTAGTTGGCCTCAACTTCTCCCTTTTCAAAATACAAGTATTTCCCGTGAGCGTCGAGTGAATGATCTGTTAAGTCGACTTGAAGTCGATGAGCTAACCCAGCAGTTGCTTCACGGAGGTGCAGGGTTTGCGCATGGTCCTGCTCCACCTATTCCACGTCTCGGCATTCGCCCTTACCAATGGCGTTCCGAGTGTCTTCATGGCTACGGCTTTGATGGGGATGCAACGAGTTTCCCTCAAGTTATCTCGATGGCAGCAGCATTCGACAGGGACCTCATATATGCCGTAGCAAATGCGACCGCGTTTGAAGCACGTGCAAAGTATAATAGTTATGCGCGTGCTGGGGAGTATGGGGTAAGTATCAAGATGCGATTCTGCACACACATAGTTTAAGCAACACAAATTGAGTGTATTATTCTATACGAATGGTAGGTATTTTAGTACAGTTTTAGTGACTGTACTTGATTTTTAGGATCACAAAGGAATCAATTGTTTCTCTCCCGTTGTTAATATCCTGCGTCACCCTTTGTGGGGTCGAAACCAAGAGACCCTAGGTGAAGACCCCTTTCTGACAGGCGAACTGTCAAATGCCTTTGTTAGGGGTCTCTCAGCACTACCCCCAAGCGGTCCGCTCTCGCGTGAGCTGGTGGATGAGAAGCATGTCTACCTGACAAGTGCCTGTTGCAAGCACTTTGCCGTGCATTCCGGACCAGAAAACACGCCAGTCTCACGTCTTTCCTTTGAAGCCAATGTCTCCGCTGCTGATCTCTGGCTTACCTACTTTCCTGCATTTAAGGGCTGTCTTGCTAATGGTGCAGCCCAGTCAGTAATGTGCTCCTACAATGGGATAAACGGCGTCCCCAATTGTGCCAACAAATGGCTCCTTAAAAAGGTTCTTCGGGATACTTGGGGCTTCAAAGGTACAATTGTCACCACAATTGTTACCTGCAATCACCAATTAATGATGATCCTTTTGGCATACATTACAGTTTATTTTAAGAAACCACCTCTTTGCTTTTAACTCAAAACATGGTTATTTGTTTCCAGGTTTTGTAATTAGTGACGAGGGAGCTCTGCAATACTTGGTCTCAAAGCATAAGGCCTTCCAGACGTACCTGGAAGCAGCCATTGCGTCCTTTAATGCCGGAACAAACATTGAAAACTCACAAGAAATCGTGCGAGGTGTCTACAGCACGCTTCCTTTACTCGTTGCAGCTGGAGTGATAAGGAGGTGTGGAATTTATCTTGTTTTTTGTCCTGTAATTTATTTTCTAATTGCGGATTGCTCAAGATTACTATGTTGCAACTTGTCGTGGAAATATCCACATCGGAGTTTTGTGACTACAGCTTATTCCTTATCATTATCTGTTAATGTTCAATAAACAGATCCTTATAATCACACGTTTGGTCTTATATTCGCACCACACCATAGCCATCTTGCTTTGAGAAACCACAGCGGGTTATTTTACACATTATTTTTTCTGTAGACAACAGCTAGAAGACATGAATCGGCCTCTTTTCTTAACTCGAATGCGACAAGCGGAGTTTGACCCTCCGGAGGAAAATATTTATGCATCACTTGACAAAAATGATGTGAGCCCTGAATTTTATTGTGTATCTTCTAAAATTTTGTCACTAAAAATGTTTTATTTGGGTAGTTTATTCAAAGTCCTCAACACCGTCAGCTTTCTCTCATTGCTGGCTGCAGATCAACTGTTCTGCTGCAAAACATAAACCATTTTTTACCCTTGAAAAGTAAGGTTAAAAGCCTTGCTCTGATTGGCCCGTTTGCAAAAAGTCTGGGAGAATTGATTGGATCTTATCCAGCATCGCGTATGCCCAATTATGAAACAACGTTGGAAGACGGTAAGCTATTTCCAGCGTCACATTGTTTTAATAAGTTGCGCATCCCTAAATACGTTTATGATTAGATAATTTTGTGCATTGCAAAGACTACCATTGGTTAGTCAAATTGATGCGTTTCTGAATTAATTACATATAAAGCGAGTTACGAATTGAATTGTTTACGGATGTGAAAAAGGGTGGAATGGACCGAGGCACTGCATTACAACTTCACCACATTGTGTTTACATCTTTTGACCTTCTTTGATGAGCCGTCTCTTTAAATCCAGTAAAATAAAAACGTCGGATAATGCAATGGAGCTGAAAGGTTTATCGGAAACCCTTGCTGATTTAATAAAGTTTTATCTAAAATCGGTGGCTTTTTTGGGTGGTGATTCCATTGAAGCCTATAAAACCAATAAATCAAAATGAACATGAGGTTACAACCAATAACCGGCGTGCATAGAATAATGATTATTGCTACTAGTAGCTTATCAAAGAAACCAATTCTCTTGTGTAGGCTTAAAAGAAGTCAGTAGCATCCTTCATGCAACCGAGTTTTGCAGAAGAGGAGCGATTTGCAGAGACGCAGATGAAGCTGGTTTGATAAGGCTACTAAATTCGACCTCCATCGATATGATTGTTCTGACTGTTGGCACGGGAAGCAAATTGGTCACCGAGTCGAGGGACATGCAGAACATCAGCCTGTTCGGTCGGCAGCATCGGATGCTACAGTTGGTCTCTATACACGCGCCCACCGTTCCAGTCGTGGTGTTTGTTTATTCCGCTGGTCCAGTCAACATCACCGACGCTGTTGCTTCCCCACAGGTGTGTTGGAGATTGAGTTTACAGTGTGAAATGCCTGCTAGAATTAAACTTTCGATTACTGATCAACATCGATTATTGATGGAATGAGCTGCATTTGCAGCGTGTCTGCCAATAACTATCAATAAACATGATTGACCATTGATATTTGAATACAAACACTTTGGCGGAAGGCAAGTCTCTAGTTCACAAGACCAGACCTTTTAATTTTTACAAACGAGTTGGCTTGTCTTCCAGTGAAATCTTTGATGTGCCAACCAAGCAGGGACTTAAAATAAGTGGTTACCATCAGTTTATACCGTCAGAGATAGCCACAATAGCAGGGAGAGGGGCTAGAGCTCAGGGAGAGGGTTAGTGAGGGTGTCCGCGGGGGGTCAAGGTAGGTCAGTAGGCCTAGCGGAAGGCATGTGGATATAGGAGGACAAGGGAAAAGCCAGATCAGCGCGCGGTGGCCTAATGGCGTGATATACCGTCTGGTCTTTGAGTAGCTGATCTGACCTTGAGCTGACCTTGCAGACTTAAACAAAAGGTAAGGTAAGGAACTTGTTCCTTCTCAATTCATCAATACGTTTAAGTCAGATCTGAAATAATTTTGGCATCGAATAGAACAGTCCCTTTAAATTGTGGATAATGGATGTGTTCAAACCTCAGCGATTGCCCGTGGTGTAGCATATTTCGTTGTTAAGTAGTCATTAAAGTGGATGATGAACACGTTTGTGGTATTAGAAACTAAAGCGATATGTTCCGTGCAAACTCGTATTTTTGTGATTTTGACTTCGCTTAGCAACGAAATGACGGCATGAGGTTTTCTTAACGAAAACACATTTCCGTGATGACATACCTCGGACATTTACATGTCATTACCGTTTACAATATGGTGCCAAAATTTTTTTTTACGTTTTTACTAAAACTTTTCTTTATAAGGAACATGCGGTTCTTGGGATTTTTCGCTGCGGAAATTTCTTATCATTCCTTTTTTCTTTTGTTTTGTTGATAGAAGGAACGCTTGCTAGTGTACTGTATCTTGATTGTGCCAGTTTGTCGATAATCCTTTATCGATTCAACCAAAGTTACCCTCTGTGAAGATTTTTCATAAACTCTAATTAGAATCTGTCTTCCATTAAAGCTGTAAGTTTTCTTATCTAGAAATGCCTTGTAAATTTACGAACCAAGAAAATTTTAATCACTGGAGTAGGGAGATATGGCTTAACGTGCACCACTCCATGGATGTGTTGTGTTGTTGATAAATTTTGCAAACATATGCTTACCATTTTATTCGTAGGTTCGCTCTATCTTGTGGTTTGGGTATCCCGGTCAGGAGGCGGGCAAAATCGCTGCGCGGATGTTGCTAGGCAACCCGGGTATCGCTTATCACCAACACGACGACTCGCTGTCTCAGGAGGCGAACAACCTGCAGTTTGCAGACAGTTTCCCTGGACTTGAATCCAAGTGGGGTTACTGGTGGATGCCCGCAGCTCGACTGCCCTTCACCTGGTACTCCAGTCTTGACCACCTTCCCGACATCACAGACTATGAAGTGAAGAACCACACATACCGCTTCAATCAATACTCCGTTTGTCCCCAAAACAACACACCGTGCCAAACGGTGGAGTTTCCCTTTGGTTTTGGACTCTCCTATAATCGACAAACCTCCGGTGGCGGTGGATTCACCTATCGTGCGCTCGACCTCCCCACGAACTCAGTCTCCTCATTGGTCGGTTTCTCTTTCGTTGTTAAAGTCGCCAACAGGGGTATTCGACCGTCGGATGAGGTGGTGCAAGTTTACTTGGATTGGCTAACCCTGTTTGGTGCCAAGGCTACCGATGCCTTTGACGGCAAATTCAAGGCGGCATATCGACAACTTGTTGGGTTCAGGCGAGTGCCCCTCTTCCCGGGAGAGGTGAAGCGTCTGAAGTACTTTGTTAGTCCCGAGCAGCTGACTGTGTGGAGTTTCGTCGCGAACCGCACCTCACCACTGTGTCAAGGCGACCGTTCTACCACCGCCAGCTGCGGTGGACCGGTGTCCGCATCGGGAACGGCTAGGCTTAGTGTTGGCGGTCAACAGCCACTGCAACAGAAAGCGGTCGATTCAAATGTTATCATCGCGATGATCAGTGTGTACGACTTCTGATTCCCAGTGGGCTTAAATCAAGCCTCACAAACAGTTTTTCCTAGAGTTTATATAAGTCATTCCAAAACGAATGCGCCATTTTGAATACTTTGAAATTCACCCTCCTTTATTTATCAACTAATGCCAAATCTTTTCGCTTAAATAAAATGAGAGTAGTAATGGCTTGTGAAGGCTTTGTGTATAATCGCATGCGCCAAACAATGATGAAACGAGTTCGAATCGTCACATTTAAAACCAAGTCTGTGCTGTTTTTGTTTAACATTATGGTGTAGGCTGTGTGGTAACTGCAAAAGCGAGGTTACCAAACTCACGTCGGTTCAGAAGAAGGTTCCTGAGAGTATATGTGCTCGCTTTTCAGCAATGCGACAAACGGACAATCACAATAGTCACGGGTAACTGCTTTTGTGTGTTTTATTCGATTATCACCGCTTCAGACAACAAATTCTTTCTAGCAAATGACACAAATGAGAAAAAACACATATTTCTATTGTTTTTTTGGCCCACGTTTTTGCTAATTGCATTTCAGCCCATTAACCTAAGATGTCTTCTGGCGTTTTAAACTCTTGGAACATGAGTCAGCAAATTCCCACTTTTGAATGCAGCATACTTAGCAGAGGACAGACTTGTTAACCAGAAAAGTTAGATTAATTTGACATGATAGGGAAACATGCCAAGCGTACATTTATAAGTTTTCACGAATTTGGATGCCTGTTTGATCCTACTAGATAACATCTGTCTGAAATCTCCATGGTAAAATGCCAGATTAGTTGATATCTGGCGTTTTCAATCGATGATTGCTGTGTGTCATTTTTTGCCATTATAATTCGGGTGGGGGGGGGGTTATTGTAGGTAACTGCCATTCTGAGTCGTATAAATTTCATGGAATATTCAGTGCTCATATGGTGAATTGTCCTCAAAATGCATTAGAAGGTGCATATCTAGGTGATTGAATTTCAAGACTACTTCCCAGGCTTAAAGCGTTTAAATCATGCAGCTGTTATCTTCTGTTATTTCACTCTTGTCTGTTGTTACTGCAAATCCAGAGAAAACTGAAAGTTTCTAATTCTTTCAGTATTTCAAGACACGTCTACTAGCCTTTTCTGAAACGCGTCAGCTTCTTGATACGCAAAAATTATATTGTCCCTCGTTGACGGTCATTGAACCCAATTCCGGCATTGGCTAATGTCGCCAGAGATGTGATTACCCACTTAAAAATTTATCAAGGCAGTCAATTGATTCCAGACCCTTATATTTAGTTCAGCTGCAAGGGATCGGTTTCATAAAAATATTTAGTGAGATTGAAGGGTTTAGTTTGTCTTGGGGTTTCGAAATGTTCTTAGATCACCATATCAGTAAACTTAACTGCTTGGATGCATCGTTCCAAAAAATTAGGGATCCAGAAGTGCAGTTGAATCAGTAATGGTGTCATTTATTCAAATGATTTAACCAAAGAATTGTGTGATTCGATTGCAAGACCCCGATTTTAGCTGTTATATTGTCTATACAGCCTTGGAAATTACTCATTTGTATTTGAGCTTGACAGAATGACTAACGATGTTAGATATGGCTGTCAATATATAACTTAAACCAGAAATTTAAGCAGAGGTTATAAAACGCAAGAGAAATGTACAGAAAGTAGCATTTTTAATAAATAAATTGCTTACTAGCTTTTATTCAACAAGTAAATTAAATTTGTTTACGAACCTTTTGTTCCCTTGTGAAGACTGTGCTTAAATGTTTTATGTTATAATAGCGAAGAGAGTCTGAATTGTATTTATACCACCTTACAGAAGAAAAATTTGGCAAGTTTGTGGGTTTGTAGCTGGGTTTTTAAAATGGTTTTTTTAAAATGAGAGTGTGGCACTGGTTTTGCATAACATGGCGGGTTGCATTGATAACATACTACTATTAACCAAATTACCTGGCGGAATAATTACAAAGGGATGGTTTTCTTATGCGTGGTGGGCTGAAGTAATCTCGACATATATCCGCTTTTAACGCATTTGAGAATTCGTATAAAAGACTGCTTTATAGTATCAAGTACAACACCACAAGTTACAGGCTGCACAAAGAAGCCTACGTGGAACAAAGGGCAAGTTTCTTGTAATTAAATGGATGTAATGGTTGAAATTATGTACATCAAAATTTCATTAAACATTGCTGTCTTAAAAAATTGGTATATGTGAATCTAAATTCAATAAAATAAAATGTCACTAATTTGGAATAATTAAAAAATAAATCAAGACATTAGTTGGTATTTCCACCGATTGAATTAAGTAGGTAGATGTATTCTGTTTTAAAAATAAAATAGTAGGTGCGTGGAATTAGAATGGCATGCGATTAAAACATTTTCCATCCGTCAACATGAAAGTTGCTCTTAAAAAGTTGTTTTTGTTAAGCACGAGTAAAATGAATAGGCAGGACATGGCATGACAACAAAATCGAGCCCTTAAAGTAGAAATCAATATAATTTCAAATAAGGTTGGAACATCCAACATTTTCGGCAGGTATACCAGTATATTTAAGGCAAGAAAAATTTTATTGACCTAGAAAAGCAACATATTTGTACAAGCTTGATTAGGAGAAGTATGTAATGAAAACAGAGGTATATATATGTTGTAAGGTGGAAATGGTAAGCAAAATTACATAAAATAGAATTTTTCACAAACTACTTTGAACAATAAGTTAAGGAAAAAAACCAAAACTTTGGAAAAATAAAAACAGCTAAAAGAGATTAGAGAATTTCCTGAAACGCGACTGTCGAAAGACTTTCCACATATTTTTCAAATACTTTGTCAATATGTTCATTTTTGCTCATAAAGATAATAAAAATACAAAAAATATACAGCCTAAATGACTTGCAATGATATGGGTAACAAACGCGTTTTTAAAACGTAATTTTTGAACGAAAATACGAAGATATGTGATAATCGAAAATGTTCAGTTAATTTCCAAAGTCTTTGTATTTTGGCATTTAAATTTTACTTTCTTAAAGATATGCAATTAATTTGTTTTTTTTTTGGCATTTCATTACTTTTTTAAGACACTGATTCTTTTACAACCTTATTGTGTTTTAATCTTTCGTTGTCTTTATTTTGTGGTAAATGATACTTTTCAAATAAGAACTAGTTGATCAATTGCCATGGTCTGGCCAACTGGTGTTCACGTTGGAATAACTTTGTGGATATGTTTCACAGGTAATAATACGTAATGCATTAAGCTTTGTATAGCAACAAATCTTTGCGTTGCATACGAGGATGACTACTCATGTCAGGACACAATTTGCAGCCCTCGAGCCGGGGACCTGCTAATTGGTAGAGACAATGCTCTAGTGGCTTCTTCGACCTGTGGCTTAGAGACTGTGGATACCTATTGTGTTGTAACAGCTAGTGGCAAAAGTCACTGCAGCGAGTGCTATTCGAAACAGGCATATAATCCCATCACAAATCCAAATAGTCACCGGATTGAAAATGTAATTTCTAGAGTCCCTAGTGACCCTGGTAGATGGTAAGTTTGCTATTTTTACATTAAAAAATTGTAACATTCGATCAAACACAGAGTATCTCCATAATCGATTCCTTTTCATCGTCACTTTAAATTACGAGCAATCTTACATAAAGCAATCACAAATTGCTAACGAAATGTGTCGCATATACGTGAATGAAAGTAATACTATTGAAGTTAATAGTATACACTAGGAAAATAATACATTCGTTAGCTATCCGTTTAACTAGATTTTATTTCATATGGCAAATCAATTTAGGCTGTCATTCATTTCCCTTTTTAAATAAATCAATAAATAGAAACCAGCACATCGGCAGAAATCAAAGTAGAAAACCATTTAAAGAAATATGTAATCAAAAAATTTGCATAGCTGTGCATGTTTCCTGCACTTTATCAATTAATTCCATGATATTTATCCCTTATCGATCGTTAGAGAATTTATAGAAATTCCATTATTAGCATTAAGTCTTATCAATCGTAATTAAGATGTTGAATAATAATACCGTATAAGTAGCAATAGTCATTTTCAAAAACTCCTAAATCGTGTTCGAGTATATTTACTCTTAATCTTATTTTCTTGGTACTACCGCATATTCCTATTTTGAGAATTTCAACAGATCATATTTGATTAAGCTTTCGGCAATTTGCGTTTTGAATTGTAAATAATTGCACTGTTTTCTGTCAATACAAGCTGTCATTGCTTACGTAACTTTGAGTAAGGTTTAAAAGGTTACTTAATCACCAATGGTTAACGTTAAATGGCTGAATCTAAAAGCTCTACTTAAAAATGAACAACAAAATTAACTAGATTTTGGCTTCTTTGTAATTTATCTCTTTGAGTCACATCATCATGTGGCATAGTGGGATTGGTTTTTGCCATGTTTTCCAATCATGAACGTCTTCTTACTTAGTCATAATTTACATTTGAATTAAAGTGCAGGCCTTCTTCCATTCACCAAACCCGTCATTTCGTTTAGGTGGCAGTCGGAAAATGCCGTACACAATGTCACTCTTACACTCAATCTGGAGACACAATTTCAGTTTATTTCAACCATCCTTCGATTTAAAACATTCCGTCCCGCTGCCATGTACCTCGAGCGATCTGTTGACTTTGCTCAGACCTGGCAACCCTATGCATACTTCTCAAACAACTGCCCCCGTGACTATCCCCACATTCCGGAACGACCCAGACGATTCTTGAATGACGTCACTTGTACCAGCATCTACAGTCAGCTGACACCCTCCGAAGGCGGCGTTGTAAGTTACAGATAGGCAATCAGTCGATAAAGGTTGCTTAAATTTCCGTTAAGTATAAGTTAAATGACACCATGAAGAAGTATAAAACCATGCTTTATTCGATTCTTATCAAAGGCTACTCGTTAAACTCTAGCCACGTGTAGACGTTCCACAACCAATAAAGCTACAATCCACATTGCGCCAATCTCTGTTATGCTTGCTAAAACACACAATGCTCTCAAATCATCATTTACAGGTGGCTTTTATGGCTGCTCCAAGTGAAATGCACGCAAACCTTCCACCATATAGCGAGGAACGACAGAACCTCACAGCCATTACCAATCTACGAGTGTCCTTCACACGCCTCAATACCCTAGGTGAGTTAAGTCAGCTTGTCCTTCCAATAGCCCGTCTCGAACTCGTGTTTGTTTGGAGCTTGTGACGAATGAACGAGATATGCGATAGATTTTTGCCATTAGACTGCCCGATTTCGCTGGAAGACGAATGCAAGTTAGCGTTAGTAGGTAAAGCAGTGGGAAAAAAGGGAGTGAGTCGAATGTCCTGTCTCCGATCTTCTCCGGTAGGTGGGTTTGTGGAAAACACATGTTGCCATGGCCTGCACCGGTACCGTAAACACTTCGGTCAGTGGCGCGCACACACACACCAGAAGTTGGCACGAACTCGTGCGGGTCACCAGCACGCACACACGTGGCCCGTTCGCAGACCTCTTTCTCAGCTGGCCCAAGGCATAAACAATGCGACCCTGTGAATTATTATTCCAGTCGTAAGCGGCAGGTTTCGCACAAACACCCTAAACGCATGTGAACCAGGGCTGTTTACGTGTTTTGGCGTTTCAGTAGGTACAAAATCGGGTTTTTAAAAATTTGTCCCAGACAGGCCGTTTTGACCAATAGGAACCTTTGGACTTGGAACCGTTTTTAATTCCACATTAGTGTGATTCAGTTGTGCAATTTTATTTTGCGTTGAAGACGGAATCAACCGAATGATTTTTGAAATATGTTCAATAATAAATTGAAGTTTTTGCAAATTACTGTAGCCATGCACTCAGACTGGACGCATAATAGACACAGAAATCTCATTTGAAATAAAACCGTCGTTTTTTTATCGCGATTCCAAGGTTGTTTGGCTCACTCACATGAGTTATCGACCGGGAACTGCGTTGATAAAGTAAACAATTTTGATTTAATCGATGCTTCGTTTTTCGATGAAAGTGTCCAACACTGATTCTCCAGACACTCAACGACAGCCACAACTGCGCTACCGAGTAACACGTTTTGGATGAAAATTGTTTGTTTTCAAAATGTCGAAAGTTAACGCTGTTTACGCACCTCATAAACAGATATAGACCATCTCATTTTTGTCGAACAGACTAGTGATTATATCGACTGTTTCTTCTGACAAAAAAATAAGGATCTTTGGATGGAATTATGCCAACTTTGCGTTAATAATCAACTTTAAAAATTCCACTTAAGCGTATTTCGGAACTTCATTCAACACAAAACCTTTTGACTGACGACGCATTTCTGCTTATTTCTATCAGGTGACATGAATTTGGACAATTCTTCAGCAATTCGCCGAAAATACTACTACGCCATGTACGAATGGAATGTTTGGGGCAGGTGCTCGTGTTTTGGGCACGCCACTCGCTGTAAACCGAAATCCGCCAGTGAGATTCCAAATCTAGAGAAGGTGGGTTCGTTTGAGACAAGCTGAGTCCTTCACATTTCCTCTTTTCTAAACATTTATGCACATTTAACAACTAACGCTACTTTTGATATTTAAGTAGCTGAAAATATATCTAAATTATAAAGGGTAAAGTAATTGTACATGATAGGAAACTCAAAAAATGGACCGTCTATATTTACCTTAATGATTTAGGTTTATGGTGTCTGTGAATGCACGCACAATACAGCGGGCGATAACTGCGAAAAGTGCGCCAGTTTCTATCAGGCGAAACCTTGGCGTCCTGCTTCCCGAGACTCTGCAAATGCCTGTGAAAGTGAGTTAAGCTTAACTTACACCCAATTAGTCTATTTATGCAAGCATCGTGGGGTCTGTTATTTCATCTGATAAATCATTTATCATTCTTCGCCATTCACGCAGTTCAAAAAGCACTTCGCTTTGAATTCTCGTGTGTTGCTGAGAAGATCGATTATACTAAGCAGGGTCAACTAAATCATTAAAATTTATGCCTTGCAGGATGCGAATGCCACGATCACTCCGACCAGTGCTACTTCAATCCAATCCTCTACCTCCAGTCTGGGAACGTCTCGGGTGGACATTGCTACAACTGTCGTCACAACACAGAGGGACCGCAATGCGAGTTCTGCAGCATCGGCTTCTACCGGCACCCAGACTTCCCCATAAATCATCCCCAAACATGCCAACGTACGTTTGTTACTTTTTCTCAGCATTCTGGCGTTAACCTGAATATTCTATTCTACTCAAATATTATTAGTACAGTTAATATTGACAGACGAGTTGACGTGGTTTCCTCTTTACAGCCTGTAACTGCCACGCGGGTGGGTCAGAAGCGCACGAGAGCTGTGACCAATACACGAATCCAGCCGAGGGCAAGGTTGCCGGTCGTTGCGTGTGCAAAGCCAACGTTGGCGGCGACAAGTGTGATCGTTGTCGTGACGGCTATTGGAATTTCCGAGCTGATAATCCGGACGGCTGTGAAGGTGATTCCAAAGCTTTTATTACGGTAAACAACCTGGAGAATAATAAGTAGTGCATATTCACCGTGCATTTTAGAATGCAAGTGTCATATGCTTGGAACACTGGAGAACATTGGATGCGATCAAGTCACCGGGGCGTGTACTTGCAAGCGATACGTCGAAGGCGAATTCTGTGATCGCTGTATGGTACGTAGTCTCCGCATTCACACGCGTTATCCTTGCCTATTTTCCGCTCTTCCGTGGAATGCTTTTGTTGAGTTGAATCTAGCCTGGCGAGAACGAGGCACGACCTTTTACTAGACAGCTCAACTAGCTTGTGTTACTGTTTGTGTTTGTTGACTGTCAAAAGTTGAGTAGACTAGTAAAACTACGGACGTCTGAATGGCCACATGGATGGAGCTGGTGGTGGTTATGGAGGTGGTCACGTGAAGAAAACTGTTATGGGGTGATTGGAATGTGCAGTGGGCTCTGTCACTTGCAGCAAAGCCGATGAAGGAGGAGTAGGCGTGACGCGGATGAACATGTGGAGGCGACGTTGACGGAAAGAAGAAAAACCCACAAAACACACATGCTACTGACACGCAAGCGCAATACAGTGAAAGATAGAGAATAAAAATTGAGAAATAGAGGCTGAAACAGCTTGCGCATTAGTGTGATTGGTGAAGAAAACAAAACGCAAATGTGAATCGGTGAGGCAGACTGGGCAAAAAGCAGGCAAAAAAGGAAAGCGCAAAGGCAAGAGAGAGGATGGCAAGTGAGGTTGTGGGTACAAGTAGTGAATGATTGCAGGCGCATCAAACTTACCTTGCACCGGGTTTAGGGTGGTCAACAGGGCCCTGACCCCAGGTGGAGGCTCAGCATTGCACTCCCCTGTGTTGAAGCCTGCGACGGACTCTAATCGGGTTCGCTCGGGTGCCTAGTTTTTGCCAGTGGGGAGCTTTCGAGCGTCCCTTTGTTATTTCTAGCACTACTATCGCCCAACAGCGTAATACATCACCTCAGTTCGCTCTCGGCCTTCACCCTCCCTTCCTCCCCCAGAAACTTGGCCTGCCTTGTCTGTCTTTGTCACCGTCACTTTGGCAACGCTGTCCAATAATGCCACCACTTCTACACTACCACCATCGTCCCCATACTCTACCTTGCTAATATTAAGTCGGCTCACCTGCTGGCTGGCTGCCTGGTTTCTACGTCTGTGCGTTCGCGCCTTATGTCCATCCTCCACCCCCCTAACATACATCACAACATCCTAGCCAACCACATTCACAACTCAAATGTCCACTTTCTGGAACATTTGTGCCAAACATCGTTCCCTAACTGCACCTTGTCCACGATACCGCAACTGCTTCATCCACCAGCCTCTAATACCAACTGACATTAGTGTGCATTCGTTGACTAGAAGCACAAGGCGGCCCATCATCCCATAGCCTGATGAGGTCTGCAGATTGACCGCTATATCTCACGAGTAACTGATCAGTCATAATTTATGCCACATCAATGCTGTGGGCACAAAGGTACCGTAGATGTGAGTGCAGACGCCTTTGTGCTCTGAAGATGAACATTACTATTACTCGTATGATAATATTAAGGGTAGTGTGGCTGCTGTTGTCATAATACTCGCGGGACGAAGGTATTCACTTGCCTGATTGCCTACTCAACTTAACCATCGTCTTTCAGCCTGAGTGATCCACATGGCAGAAGTGGATAGGACAATACACGAATGCGATTGGTGACAAGTTTCAGGGTGGTGGTGGTGGTGGTGTTGATACATACTGGGGGTGGGTGTGAATGAACAGGCAGTTCCAGTGAAAAGGGGGTCGTGTGTGAGGCCGCGACGGTCCGACGTGAATCAGCAAGATAATCCACTCTTCACTTTCGCACAGCCAGATTTTGTATTCGCGTGCGGCAAACTGCTGGTCAATTATCTCAACATACCACTTTTTCTAGCCGGGATACTTCAACTTGACTGCTTCGCCATCTGGCTGTGAGCCGTGCGCCTGCAGTCCAATCGGTTCCATTGGGCCGGACTGCGACCCCGACCGAGGCGTCTGCAGGTGCAAGCCGAACTTCAGCGGTCGTGATTGCAGCCAAGTCGACGACGGCTACTTCGTGCGACCCTCATACGTGGTCATCAATCAGGTCGACCGACCTATTGAAATCATATCAGAAGGCGTAAGACGGGACGGTAACTACGTGTTCATCATCGAGACAGAGACCAGATACGTAAGTGTGATCCAAGTCAGATCGCATTATCCTAGCACAATCTTCATGCCTTGATCGTAGATAAAAAACTGAGTAACAAAGTTACCTTTATTTCAGTTTGGTCCGAATGACAGGTGGGTGGTTACAGTGGATGTTAGACAGGAGGGATCACATTGTCGAAACTACCCCTACCGTGTCGAAATCAACGCAGGTGAGCGACTTTTTTTTTTACCAAATCACTCAATTTGATACTTCAAGGCCTTTAATGGGTTCCACGAATTAACTAATCATTAACCATTGTTTGGCCAATCACGACGTTGTGCTGGGGGGTTGTGATTGGTTTATGCGGGCTTGAATTGCTTGATACGTCACGTGTATGACAACACTGATTTACTTGGATATAAGCATTTAGAATAGCAGATTTATCCAGCGTTGGACTCCGTGTCTGACCAATCGCTTTCTGATGTGACTCGCCACACTGCTGCGTGGGTTTGTGTATAAAATTACAAAGTCTTGAATTCACGCCGGCTTCGGTTGGTCTATTTAGATACCAGGAAGCTCATCTTGCCCTCAGTATGCATGGTCGGTGATCGGAAAACCATTATCGTCATCATGCCAGAATCGCGTGAAGGATCGCCTTACGTTGAAATCGTCGTTGGAAATGTACGTGCACTTAATCCTACTCGCGATATTTTTTCTCACTATAACGCCAAGCTCCTTTAACTAGGTGACAATGTTGAACAAGTGTTTAGCAAAGATTTAACGAGGTTCCAAAAACCTTTTATTCTCCCGGTAGTTGTTGTTTACCACGTTGCCTAAAGATGACATAAACTCCTTCAATTATTGCGATTTTCGCAGTCATTTGAGGTCAAATGATCGGCCTTGGACCGACGGCAGCTTCTGATTGGATCTTATCTTTTCTCAAGGTTATCATAAAGCCCGATGACGGAGAGACTGGCAACATCGCGAGATACTGTGAAACCTACCGTGAATTGGCTGACCAGATACGGAGGGGTGAAGTTGAACCCGAACGAATGCCTCAACTCTGTCAGACCTACTTCAACACCGGCGAGACCCACTGGAAAGATACCGTCGCTGTGGCTGTCCGTAAGTCCTATACAAAACGCGGAAGCTTGAGATGATGGAAAAAAAGGTTCTTGTTGTACTGTATTGGAGTGCATAGTAATTTAAAACCGACCAATGGAAGGCAAGGTTTAGCGATTGGCGTCTACAGCCCACCACAAATGTAACTCATCTCTGGAATTTCAATTGGCTGTTCAACACTCCCTCTTGATAATTTTCTGCCTGACACTTAGACTTTGTAACAAAAGTCCACACTTCAGGTGTACGCCAGAATTGTAACTTTTCAGCTTGCGAATGCAACATCACGGGATCCGTCACGCCAATCTGCGACAAACGAACGGGTCAGTGTCCTTGTCGACCTGGCGTTGTTGGCAGGACCTGCGATCAATGCGAGGCCTATCATTACCACTTCAGTGCCTCCGGCTGCACAGGTACGTGTGCTTTGGTGTGAACAACAATTCGCGGCTTATGCGTTCCCACTCAAACCGACTTGTGTGCGCTTTATTCTGTTCAAACGCAGTATATTTGTGTGTTTAGGAGGGATAAAAATTTAGCAACCTCACATTGCTAATCTCTGTTAAACAAGCTGAATCACCCAATTGGTCGCTTGATAGACCAATCACCTATTCAAATCCGTTCACTACAAATGGTGACGATTGTTAACTTCCAGTTCGTCTTCTTTAGCATGCAACTGTCACCCTGAGGGGTCAGTTAGTCTGCAGTGCGACCCCATTTCCAGCCAATGCCCCTGTCGACCTGGGATTGAGGGAAGGAAATGCGACATTTGTGGAAGCGGACACTGGAATTTCCCCTACTGCCAGCCCTGTGAGTGCAATGGCAAAGCTGAGGAGTGTGATCAAGTACGTTTAGACCTTGCAACTTGCGCGTTGGAAGCATCAGTCAGAAAACGCTGTTGAAGTTAGCGGAACATTAATGCAGGACCTCAAGCCCGCATAATCGACTAGCAACTAGGCAAAACGCTTATGGGTATGTGCCTCTTAAACACAGACAAGATGCAACTCTGAAGGGGGGAGGTGGGACAGGAAAAAGGTGAAACGGCCAAAATAAAGGTCTGAAGTGGGAGATGTGAATTGAAGAGTTACAAGTCTCGAATTCGCAGCCCACAAAACCTCAGTTGGATTACAACAAAAGGGTTGTACCAGCTAAACTGATGACAGCCGTTAAATGACGATTTCTGTGTTGTAATGCAACTGAAAAAAATCAAACGAGGCAAATGGAGGTTATGATTGTTTAGCCCAGGGAAATAGCTGCTTTGATCCATTAGAAAGTGTAATTTTGAACCACCTGTTTGCCAAATTTGGTTGAATAACTGCTGGTCAGACGGCATAGTCCAACAAAATGCGTTTACCAAGCAGTCTAGTTGTCGTTGAGTAATTAATCTCCAGAAGAGATAGCACCCAACAAGACCAAGTAATGTGTGACACATTTTTGCAACAAGAAACCTCTCAGGCTGTTGTGTTTGCCTTCCAAAACACACTCTTCACACACGCACGGCTCTTTTTAAGGTCACCGGTGCGTGCATCGACTGTCGAGACAACACTGGCGGTCCCAGGTGCGAGACCTGCGCCCAGGGCTTCTACGGCGATCCGTTGAGGGGCGTGCCTTGCAGGCCCTGTGAATGCCCAGGGGGTGGTGTCGATCATTCCGAGGGCTGTCAGATGCATCCAGTTGTCGGAATGCAGTGTCACTGTCAGCTAGGCTATGCTGGTAAGTTCGGCGTGATTGGTTAGATTGTTTGTTTCAAATGACAGCAAGTCGATGCCAAATTGAAACTACACCCTATTAAGGTCCCCGGTGCTCTGAATGCGCACCCAACTACTACGGCAATCCCACGGAACTCGGAGGCTCGTGCCAGCCCTGCGAGTGTTCCGGCAACCTTCCGCCAGACGGTGGCTGCGACCAGGTCACGGGTGCCTGTCTCGTCTGTCTGCACAACACCGAAGGCGAGAAGTGCGATCGGGTAGGCTCACCAACACCACGCTTCCCACATACACCCCCTCTAGCGGTGGAAATGCTACCTGTGTGTCCACATTTCAGTGCATCTCCGGGTACTGGGGCAATGCAAGTGTCCAGGCCTGTCAACAGTGCAGCTGCTACCACTTGGGGACTGTGGGCGGGTCAGGTGCCCCCTGCGACCGTCTGACCGGCGCCTGCAACTGCCTCCCGAATGTCCTCGGACCGCGATGCTTCGAGTGCGCCCCGCAGCACTTCAATCTCACCTCCGGCAAGGGCTGTGAGGCCTGCAACTGCGATCCAACTGGATCTCTCAGTCTCGAATGTCACCCAGTAAGTTCAGCAGTCAAAACTGCATTGATAACGCAAATGGCATGGATAGCGGCCTAACAGTAGACAAGGATTAGGCCTCTGAAATGGCTTTTTGAATTAAAACAGGTGTTTTCATGCCATGCTGCTTTAATTTAGTACACTGGTCAATGCACCTGCAGGCCGGAGCGCAGTGGAAGGAAATGTGACCAGTGCCAGAGGACATTTTACGGCGATCCGCATCATCCAGACGGCTGTCGACGTAAGTGCTGCCTTGTATTCCATCACAGACTTCACCGTGAATGTGGTAAAGGCTAACGAAGCTTATTTAGACCATGAACCGAAATTCCTAATTGGATTGCAGCCACAAATATTCAGAAGAACGACTTTATCAAAGCGTATTGCAGTTGTTCAAGTCAAGTCGATATCACGCTGCATTCTCAAAGGCTTTTCATTGGTTGAAGTTCATGGGTCGTAGAGGGACATAAATTTTTCGATTAACACTTGCTGGACGTAGTGAGAGGTGTTTCCGAGAGAGATGGTGCTTCATCTCTCATAAAAGTATCAACATGAGAATGAGTACGGTGTTTTTCCCTGTCTCAGTCAAGAACCCCGAGTACACGTTCAAACGCGTCTACCTATGCATAGTGTGGGCAACCTTGAGTGAAATTTGTGACAAAAGTAAGCTCAACGACTAATGGGCCAATAGGAAGAGGGCAGCTTATCTGAATACAAAAGATGGTGTGCATAAGCATGAAAGAGAAGGGAATGAAATATGAACTTAATGTGCAGTTTTTTACACGCGCCTACTACAAACTGTCGAAATGATTGAAGTGGCACCAGTTATCGTGAAAAGTCGTCAAATCCATTCTTTTTTATCTGTTAAAATAAATTAATCTGCATTCCGTTTTCGCACACGGACCAAAATCCATCGGCCCAGAAGCACGTTTCTCTCAATTGGCTAATTCCCATTTTCTGGATTTTAACATGAGTTCCAATGCTACATTAACCTTGAAGTGTGGGCACATCTCTTCTAAAGACACTACACTGTCTTCCTAGATTCCATTTTTTTAGTGTATCTATTCGGTTACTTGTCTATCTGAGATTTAAAATATTCATTTAAAATTGACATCTTTAGCAGGTTAACTCGACTTTGAAATGGTCCGATTCGCAAGCTTCACGCACACTTCGAAAGTGGGTTTGTCAGAGCTTACATATAAGTAACGTTTTCTCCCTGATTGATTACTTTTTCATTCGCTGGGATTTCGGTCCCCGCTATCAGTCCTACTTATGTAAAAATTAGTAACAAAACCAACCGCCTTCTTATAGGTTGTGACTGTGATCGAACGGGATCGTTGAGCGACGTTTGCGACCCCGTTACGGGACAGTGCCTCTGCAGGGAGGGCATCAGCGGGAGGCGCTGTGATCGATGCGACCGCGGCACAACGGGAGTCCTTCCAAACTGCAGCCCGTGCGGTGAATGCTGGACCAACTGGGATAACGCCATCACCGCCGTTGTTGGTAGGTTTGATAAGGCAGTGCCACCAGTAGGCGTTTGGTAGTTTCGCTCTTTCCCTCTCCCCCCTCTCTCTCTCTTAAAGACGAAATGAAACGTCTGAAGAACCAGACAGCGATTCAACTGCCTGCCGACTTGAAGCCCGTCTACGACATACTGAAGGGCCTGGTGGAGCAAATCGAGTTGATTCCTGGTTCGAATCTGACGAAGGAACAACTGGACAAGCTGACCGAGGTTCTCAATTTAGTAGAGTAAGATCCTTTTCTTGCTGCCTGATATTCCAATATCAAGTAATTGTGGCGTTCTCTATTGGGCTCTAAATCTGATCCAATAAAGTAAAAGTCAATCTCTGCTGTTTAAAGTAACTCGCATTTATTCGAACTAATGTGGCGACGTACAAGGGCGCAGACATATTGGACCTCAGCCAATCCTCTGTCTCTTTGTGTTCGAATGGCATACGAGGAATATATGCAGCCAATCATAGATAGATACATATAACAAGTGGTGTATGATGAGCGGCGTAGCCAGCGTGGTGGACTCGGATGGACGTGTGGTTCTAACTTTTGATTGGTCAACAAAGCCTGTTCTGTTGCACGAGTCTCCTTCATACTAGGGCTCGGGTATTCAGTGAAGCTTTACTAATTCACGTGCTTTCTTCGTGTAGAGAGCAGATATCCATTCTGGAGACCTCCGACGGAGGTTCTGGCAAGCTGCTGGAGGCGATCGAGGAATTGGGGAGACTTCAGTCGAAGCAAACCTCAATCACTCAGAGCATCGAGAATAACGAAAGGTTCTTGAAACAGCTGTCAGCTCATCTCGATCGAATGATCGAGAGTAGCAAGAACTACTCCATTCAGGACCCGTATGGTGAGCGCTGTGCTTTAAAGTGACTAATTGGAAATGTGCCTCATCGTTATTCATCAGTTGTGAGCGCTGAAATCGATGATTACATGCAACAACAGGTAGTTTAGGCTTTTTACACTTTAAGTTCATTATTAGTAAGATTTGGGATGGCAAGTTTGACACAGGCAAATATTTAGGCAAAGTGAATTCAAATGCATTCACATGAAAGGAAAAATATTATTTTCAGTCTTTCGACCTTTTATTAATCCGGGTTCTTCCCATGAAAATTAGTAAATATCAGCCTACTATTAATTAACTAGTAACAATGATTGTGCACAAAAACTGAGTTGCACTTGAGACGATGCTTTTCACGCAGAATACCGTGCATTGCGAATAACACCCCGACCCTCTGAGATTCCAGTCAAGTGCTTTGCGCCTAGCCTATGGTGGCTGGTGAAAATGTGTTGTATGTTGCAAGTTTGCGATCGGAACACTTAGCGATTTTCTAAATCCGCACAGGTGCTTACACGGCTCTGGTACAGGCAGAGGAAGAAGCCCAGAAAATAGAAGCTCTCCAACGAAGCCTGGAATCTCGCAGAACGACCTTAGAAGCTCTCTTTCAGTCGGCGACTAGAGCTGTCGCCGGACGAAGCGAAGCCGATGAAGAGCTTAAGCGACTCATTAAGGTCATTAACGAGCGCATGGAGGACCTTCGAGGCGAAATTCGGCAAATTAACCGGCAAGTATGTCAAGCTGCAAAATATTTTTCCATATAATACTTTCTACTGAAATGTAATAAGTAGAGAAAACCTCAAATCAAAAGACTAAACAGACCCCTAGCATATCTTTCGAACATGGCTAACATTGCGGTGGACAATTATGCAAAACGAAGTTACTATGACAAATTCTTCGGGGTAGAAGCTGGAAAGTGTGGAAATGCTGTAGGTACCACACACCCCCTTAAAATGATTTAAAATTTCTAGATGTGTGGTGACAATCAACGGAGCGCTGTATCTGGATCCGATCTCAAGACCTGCCCGTCGGAATGCGGTGGCGCGGGCTGCGACCAAGTGACCGCGGAGATCTTCAACTTGAACGAATACCTCGATTCCTGGTCGCGCCCCTCCGACTCCCCGTTCGGCCTTATTTCTGGCTGTGGGGGTGCTACAGGATGTTCCATGAGTACGCAGGGTCGCCTGACGGAGTTGATGGCCGATCACCTGACCTCACAGAATCAGTTGACCGGCGTGCTTCAGAGGTCGGCCAAAGTGGACAATCTGATCGCCTCGGTCAGCACACAGATGATTGATTACTCTTGCATTGTTTGGCTAACGACGAACCACTGTAGTGGGCAGATTTTGTTTGTGAACCAATCAGACGCTAGGTTCAGAATGCAAAAAGCTAATTGGTCCAGTGATAGATCTTCGAAAGGTTAGATAAACTATTCTTAGGCTAATTTGCTCAAGAATGTTCACGTAAACAGAGGATACGCTGCCTTCTTAAATTCTTTTCGCCACTTCTACTAGCTCGAAAAGGATTTTGTGTGTTTAAAATCCGATTGGATGGTAGACTTCGTCGTTTTTTCAGGTGAATTCTTCTCGTTCGAAAGCCGAGGATATTCTGAGGGAGATCAGCGCGCAGCTGACGAATCTCCGTTCTCGAGTTGAGCGTGTGCAAAATTTGACAAACAGCGTAATTGAGGACGGTCAAACGGCTCTGAAAAAATACGAAAACCTCACTCGGGCTTATTATGATGAGGTGAGTTGCACTTGATCTCACTTCCACCTCGCATCCATTCAGCCAAAGCAAACTCAGCTAACTCGGTTTAATGAAACATCAACGCAGTCTGTAATTTGAAAACCCTTAACGTTGATGAAGATGGTTGCGTTTGAATAATCACAGAAACAATACTGAATTCTCATGCCTCAGTCGTAACGTCTATATCAGGCTACGCCCACTTATTTTGCTTACATCGGTAAAAATACAGAAAGAAGTGGACAGTCTCCTGACAGAGTCGTTAGCGGCCCTTTTGATTTAGCATTTAAGACTCAATAAATAAAAGGCAAACACGATTTATATTTAATGTCATATGATGTACATTTGATTTCTATAGTTAGTGCGTAAAATCCTCGGTTTGAAACACACCAGCACTTTGCACGAGGCACTGGAACTAGGCACCTCACTCGAACGACTTGCATCCCGGCTCCGTTACCAAGCAGAGCGTATTCTGGCGGAAACTGCAGTCGAACGCCAAAGCGCCAATGACCTCCGCGAACGAGCTGAACTCATAATGTAACGTACAACTTACCATTTGCACATTCCCGTTTGATCGGTTAGGATTTGTCAAGTCTTATATTTCTTTATTGCATTGTGTAGGTCAGACTGCAATGGCACACCTATTGATTTAAAATTAATCAATAAAACAAATCTGCCATTCACAATAATACACTATTATTTGTACAGATGTAGACGCAAATAATGCAGGTTAATTGTCCGGAAATTCCAGAATTATGACTAGGTGACATCTTACTTATTATTTCCTTAAAGTACAATGAAAATGGGCTCCATATTTAATTTTCAGGAATAAGGCAAAGAGTTTCTTGGAGCAAATGAATAAGCTGGCCAACGCTAGCACAATCTACGACGAGTTGGAAGCCAGTGGGACATTCGACAGTCTGGAAGAAGCCAAACACCGAGAGCAGTCGAAAATGGTAAGTGGTTGAGCATAAGTCACGTGTCTTCGATTTGCGTTCTGATTGGTGCTTACCGCTGCACCGCAGGTGAAGGAGGAATTGGACCGTCTGGAGACGGAGAGGCAGCTTCTCTCTCAGGACATCAGCGCGCAGGTCGATCAGGCTGAGCAGAACGCTGCAGCCGCTCGGCGTCTCCACGAAGAAAGCGCCGATGCCAGGCGCCAGGGCCAGACTTCGTTGCAGAACCTTCAAATGTTGAATGTGAGTTGCTTGACTGTGTGTCACCATAGTGATTTGTCATTTTACTGCACTGTCTTCGCGTTGCAGACTTCGTTCGGAATGCTTGATGAAAAACTGGACTTCCTGACTGAAGCTATGGACAAGATGGTCGGGCAGAACGGTGGGGCTACCACTGATCCTCTACCGAACATTCAGGATCCAAGTGAACTCGCCAAGCAGGTCAATGCTTACATCGAGAAACTCGAAGAGGATCTGGCGAAGGTTGAATGTAAGAAGTGGGAAAAATATTAACTACTGAATGATATTTAATAACATATTTTATCGGACATTTTTTGTCTTCAGCATTGACGAAACCACTTGATTATGCTGAGGAGGAAGCGCTGAATTTGACGAACAAACTCGAAAAGGTTGTGAAGGAATTCAAGACGCTTGGTTCACAGATCTCTCCGAACACCAAACACCAGCAATTCTGCAGCTAACGAGCGTAAAAAACTGACCGACTGAAAATTAGGATTTTCTTTAAAACCGCAACAATTTAAAATCAGCTTTTGTCATAACAATGTGACAGGATTTTCCGAATAATTGAGCCTGATTTTGTAGCTTATTTGTATGTGTTGTTATTTTACATTCTTTTTTGACATATCAAAATGTTCATTTGTTCGGTCTCACTCGTCATCCATTCGTCATTACCACATTTATGCCTTCCATCGTATTAAGAGGTTCGGAATAGTTGTTTACTGAATTCTTGAGACACTAGATAAATACACACAGGCCAAGTTTGATTAATTTTATCAACGTCGGTATCGAGTTCGTCTAGAGAATTGCGCACAAAGAGGTTCACATCTCCCTTTCCCTAGCGTTAGTCGATTTTCAAGCGTCCGGAGAAATTACGATTTGATTCGGAGATTAAATGTATTTTTCTACTTTTTCATATCCATAATCTTTAGTCGCAAGCAAGGTAGACACTGTGGGGACATCACTGCACACTAAACAGCACAAGAGTTCAACACAATGAAAATTTCCGACACATTTTGGTATTGATTTCATTGGTGAATGATTTTCAGCTCTGTACTTTGAAGCTGTCGTGCTAATTTCCTCACCGCTGGCACACATTGACAATTAAAAGGGTCACAACCAGTGGAGCATACGCACCTGAGCTTGATTAAACAAACAATGGAACAGATTTGCATGCTTCAAAAGGTGCGTTTTTGGCATCCAGAGACAACAAATAAGGATAATTGGCACAATGAAGAAACTTATTATTTAGTTTCTGCAAAACAAAACGCATGAACAGATTTTCAAGTATCACAACAAATGTTCCAACTAAGAACACGTGCGCTCCCACAGTAGACGCCGCTGTAACAGAATTGGTGTGGAAAAAGGCAGGTAATTGCCGGAATGTAAGGAACAAACGTGCAAAGCGCTCTCCAACATTCGTGGAATGTCATAGATTCGTGATCAAGCGCGTACACAGGGAGACAATTGGAAGGAATGCTGCCTGATGCAGGCGAAGAAGAGATTCGGTCACATCATTCACCGCTGCGTCCACACTTATACATACTCTATGTCAACATAGCATTAATGGACAGATCTACGGCCATAATAGAGTTGCAGAGAACACCAAAGGAATCCACATTAAGAACTCGTGAACCATATTTCTGACCAAGGAAAATTTAGCACTCCCCACTTTAGAAAATCGGTTGTTCAAGGTATATTTCAGAGTAACTCAGTTCGTGTTTGATTGTTCATTTTAAAATCCCTTAAGGGAATTATAACTTGGTGCCACTTGTCGTGGTAACAGGTCACAGCAAACCACAATGTCAAGCACCATTCCACTTGCATGTGTTGTGAATCGTGTTTATTCAGACCCCTTAATCCGGTCGATCCACGTCCGACACAGGGTTCCCCTTTTCGCAGCATGTCGCCAGCCGCGCGCATCCTCAACTCCCTCCCCATTCACACGGATATTTATCTTGGATTATCCTCACACCTAGGTCTCGATGTTAGCTCATCTATGACTCACACATCTGAGGTATAAATACACATGCGGACGACGCAACGACACCAACGCGGTTGAGCTCTGAAGTGAACGGTTGTGTCCACGTCCTCTCCTATCTTTTTCAAGGCAGGCGTAATCGGGCCAGGGTTAATTCTGTGGCCCTGACGTGTTTCAAGACAGCATGCTGTGACCCACAACACATATAATGTAATTTACTCTCGTGAAGGAAAACCATTAATATTTCACCACCAGAATTCGAGTCATCTTCTCACACACGTAAAAGACAATGCTGATGTCCTGTAGTCTGCCCTGTGTTTCATTTAAACAACGATTCAATGAAAAAACTGTTTCTAAAGAATTATCAAAGAAGAGTGGAAAATTTTAAGGACTCTTCCCACATCTTACACAACATTCAATTTCAGAAATGCTTTTACATTCTTCATTAACTAGAAATGCACAATTTAGTTTAGGCTGGCCATCTGCCTCGTCGGTGTCGAGGTTGTGGGTGTGTCAATTGGAAACCTCGGCTCGAACAACCAGACACGACCAAAACACTGCGTTTAATTAAAGCTACTAATAAGACAAGTGAAATTCTAGGCTGTACCATAGGCACAAAGTTGGAGTTGATACTTGTTGGAGATCTACGATTCCCCAAGATTGCTCGTCGTTGGTTTCTGGCACTATTTACACGAATTCACTAACGTGTTTTATTACGCTTTTTATCAGGCCAAGGTTAACCTGGACTTAAAGTAGTTTCACTTTTGACAACGTACTCGCACGTGGCTGACGTGATTAAAGCTCTCTACACGAGCTCTGGTCTTGTTCTTGCATTAGCGTGGGAAGGTGGGTTCTAGCGTCGACAAGGGTTCTGGTGCCGTTACTTGAGTGGCTTTCTCTTTGTTACGAGCAACCGTAACAATACATCACAGTGAGAACTCACAGTACCACTGTTGAATCAGATATGCCGTGAAACTTAAACCTGTTGACGACAGTTGAAAGCCTGGGGGTGCGACCGTCCAGGGCATGGACACAATGGGACGCATCTCGTGGTAGGAGTTGGGTTGAAACCCACGAATCGCCAGAATCAGTGCTCCGGAAGCATTCCTTCCCACAACTGGATGTGGCGAACAACACATCCGCCTTCTGAATGTACGATACTGATTGAGCGGTCGAAAAGAAAAATGGCAGCAAAACAAAACCACCACCCAACGTTAGTACTTTCCACTGATGTCAGTGGAAGGCCTATTCACAAGTGAATGCAGTTGTGCTAAAATTATACTTTAGCTAAACTCTTAAGGGCCATCTGTACTGATGTGGACACGCCCAAGATCTCCATTGACAATTTTAGTGTTTAGCGCCTAAGCAAATGACTGTTGAACGGGCAGAGCCACGCCACAATCACCAACCAAATCTTCGTGTACATCGTTTAAACTATCTAATTAGAAAACCGTGAATGTGCCGTTTGCAGAAGAGAACGGTTAAGCAAAACTTTGTCAGCATTGTATTTTTTAAGACCGTCACGCTTCACGCAGTTATCTGCACAGTTTACGAAAATTCGTTAAGAAATTTTTGTCCTGCCCACGTCGATCTGTCATTTGCGTAGGCGTTATCACAGTAAACTCTCATAATTCGTCAGCCAATATGCATGAAAACGGAGCATTTGATGCTTGTATTTTCGCCTTAATTTCACAAACATGATTTCGTTACTCAGGTTCTGCGTATTACTCTTTTTCATCCTTTTTTGAAATACCAAATTTTCGCCTGTTTGGTCTAATTTTAACTCACCCGCCTTCCCTCATCGTAACGCTACACTTGTACCATTAACTCTATCACAATGGAAGCAACGTTTTCCACTGGTTCAAACCGGTTACCAACTTTGTTGTTTTGAAGTCAAGTTTGCTTCAGTTTCTGCGATTCAAATAGAACTATGCACTTATTTTCTTTTTTCAAATTTAACATTTAAAAAGATAAATTTGTGCCAGCTATCTGTGTCGTGGTGGTCACTCTCCGACAGAGCTGGCCGTTAATATTTAAAGCAAGCTGCAGCAATATGCCTAGATTTTCGTTCATTCAAGTTTGGGTACCAGCTGCAGCTAAATAGCCCCAAAATGCATTGGAGGCGTATTTTTCAACAGGATGCAACAGACGTCTCCTTGGGAGCAATTTGTCTGGCCACTGATGGTTGAGAATCTGATAACGAAATGATTCGACAAACTGGACGTCTTAGTCTTAGTATAGTATCAACTTAGTTTATGTCCCTGAATGCTCTTCACAGCAAACCTGCCAATCGCATCTACGCATTATCTAGTTCATTTCGCATAATTAGAAACAGCATTGTTGGAACCGTTATGCTGTGAGTGGATACAAATTAAGCTATCAGGTATAGAACTGGGGTGAAGGGCTCTTTGAAAAAGAATGCCGATAGATTTAAAAACCAACAACCCGCTTTATTTCACAGTAGCCACAACGTTTTCGAATGACAAAGTGGCATGTTTATCAACAATGTTTTATTCCTGTTAGTTGCTGTTATTTCTAATTGCCCTTTGAATCCTATTCTTAGGCTAAACTGCTTTGAACTTCTATATTTATTCAGACCACTTATGAATCGTTGATTTGGCTACAACGTAACCCGCTTTCTTCGCTTGAATCCATCACTTGCGAATGAATGCGTTGAGTACACCATTGTGAATAGTCTGAAATTTTAGAATTTGCTAATTTTTTGCAAGAATTTTAACTCAGACTAATCTGAGGATTCTAATTAGGCTACTGCAACAATTATTTTGATGTGACTGGGGTGGACTGATGCCACCTGCCGCAGAAATTTTGAAAATCTTACGTGCGTCTCCATCAGCGTCTGATTAAACGCTTGTCTCTGCGTGGTGAGACCGTGGAATCAGGCCGATAAGAACGTAACACTGTAAAGAATTCCTTCAAAGT